GGCCTGTGAAGATAAACATGGAAGTGGTGCTGAGATGTCCAGGTTGTTGCTGTTTCATGGATGTGTACATTGTATATATGTTTATTTGTATTAATTCAGCCTTGATAAGACAAAGGTTCACAGAAACCAGGTGAGGATGTCAGAATGTGTATTGAATGCAGAATTACTCAATGGTCTCTTATGGACTCGTGTCAGAGGCAGGAGGGCTGTGGGTGACAGCAGCTTTGCTATTGTACATATTCACACTTGCGATTGTTGTATCAAAGTTCGTGATTGAAAGTCTTAATAGAGCATTGCAAAAGCCATCTGTGATAGAAGCAACGCTACCTCGGTAAAATAGTGTGTTTCAAAACAATAGAAAACTGCCAATTCTGGCATTTGGCATTGACAGAAGACAGTTATCCCCTCTGGCAGTGTTTCTGGCTGGTACACCTGAGGTCTCTTGGGAAGCTCCTTCATCTGCCATTTACACTTGGGGCTCACACAGCTTCTCCTTGCCTGCTCTGCTCTCAGTGGTAGGTATCAGCCTATCTCCCTTAGGTGCATCCTCTACGATGTCTCCATATAAGGTGAAACCTGATGTGGCCCATCCTGACTTCCTGATCCTTTCTTGGGAACCTGCTCATCACCTGCCCTGGTCTGGCAAGTGATGAGGATACAGCCAAGCCTGTTTTCCTGCATCTCAGGCCCTACAGTCTAATTCCTCTTGTTTCAAGCTTTGCCTGAGTATCTTTGCTTTCCATAAGGGAACTGTATATTTTAAGGCTCATCAGCTTTGACAGTGCCTTTTACTGTGTCAGGTTTAGTGGATAACGTAATTTATTAGGGCAATCTTTGGGAAGACCGACCAACTTTTGGATACATGAGCCTGAAGTTTTGATACAGAAGAGCTGGTGTTCCTGAAAATGTGTAAGTTTTCCTGAGGGCATATGTAATAAGACATACTATGTCTTCCTGCAAACTTCAGCTTGCTTCTGTTATGTTGTATGTTGTGAACAGCTTCCATATTCTATGGAGCCTTCTCCCATCTCTTTCTGGGAATGTGTTTTCATTTTATGGTGGTGAGTAGCATGAAGTAGAATCCCTAACAGTAAGCAAAACGACAGTGTTCTCAGGGAGGGGGAATGTGGACTTGCAAATCTGTTTGTATGTGGCTATTCAAGAATTCCTGCTCTACAGAAGTACAATATAGGATGGGAGAACAGTTCACATAATGGACCCATAATCTTAGATATTTGCAGGAAAGCAGCTTCAGAAGAAGCTTTATGGTTTGAGTATAATTGATACAGCCAGATACAACTCCAGCTGGCTTTGGTGAGACTGGGTGGTATCTGGTGACTAATCTTTCATAAATTATTTCTGTAAATGACCAGTTTAAGTATTTTGAACAGGATTCTGTTTTTTCCTGTCTTCAGCAGTCTTGGTAGCTCAGCAAAAGGTATCTGTCTACCTCAAGTCCTTTCCATAGCAACAGACTTTAACACCAGTCCTTGGTGACTTCATTGTGGTTTCATATGCGTAAACAACATTACACACCAGATGTAGTTCCTGTTCAGACTCCTTTGTTTGACAGCTTAAGATTGAAGAAGATAACTGTATGAAAAAGAGATCAATAAAAATGTAGATGTGTGAGTTAGGATTAAAATACTTAAATATCTTTCTTTGAATGGCCTCCTTAGGTGAAAATTAGTGTTATGTGAATTCACTAATATCTAGATATTAATCCAATATATTGATATATTAATAGATTTGTTAATAAATACATTAATAAAACATGGCATGTTTTATTTCTATTATAGAAGATACTTACATTTAGCTACACATAAAGTCCAAGAATAGAGGAATGAGCTGTAAGGCAGGAAATAAAAGAAATTGTTCATTATAATTAATATTCAGCACGTAGTGAATGCAATACTTCATGACATGCTGTGAGTGGTTGAGACCTGGACTTCCTCACCGATAGCCAGAGCCAGGTTGGTGCATTGGATCAAGCCCTTCTAATTTGGAAGAACTCTGAATCCAAGTCTAGTTTAGTAGTTCATGGCTTGGGTTCAGCTCTGGTACAGACACGAGGGTCTCAGTTGTGCTTGGCCTCACTATCTGTGTGCAGGGGACAGCTTTCCCTTCACCAGTGCTGCTCCACACAGCACAGATACAGCCGCAGGCCTGAAAATCATGAGACAGAGGAATGTTCTCTTCTAGCTTTACCTTCCGATGGGTAGGAAGTAGTATATAGGCAATCCTGGAAACAATTGTGTTTGTGCATACATATTTAGAAGAGTCTGTACTGAACCCTCTGTATGGAAACTGCTGCTAGTCCACTCCTCTTCAGTGAAAAATTAGGTCACAGATCTACTGGATGTCTGTAGTGTAGATGGGAAAATTATTCAGACGATGAAGGGACTCTGGACAGAGACCTTGAGTCACCGACTTTTTTGCATGTCACTTCTTAATTATTGCTTAATACACATCACTGAACAAATCTTCCTTGTGAGTTGTGTAGGCAAAAGCAAGCAGTTTACCTATTTCTGTGCCAAAATACATTGCTTAATTTGGTTGATGTGTATAGAACTAGACTAAATTTCGTATTTAATAATGTGTGTGCCACTGCAGCTTGACAGTTGAGGCATTTTACTCCTACTTGTACTTGTCAAATTAAATAAAGTCTTCCAAAGTCTTCATTTTGTCTGTATAAATATCTTAAAGGTCTGATGCCATTAGACTCTACCACCTAATCTGAGAAGTTCTAAGGCTATTATGCAAAAAATGCAGCATCAGGTTAGTTTTCCTTCACACGATTTGTTCATAGAACACAGAATCACAGTAAAAGCAGAAGACAAAATAAGAATTTATGGGAGGTACAAACAATAACAAAATGCAAAGATTGTGGAATAGATTCATCAGTTTTTTAGCCCAAAGTAGCCAATGGATCTGGATGCCAGATACAAATATCATACTTCCCAACTCAGACCTTAAAATTGGAGAGATGGCTAGAAAAAGTGGGGGGGTCTTGCCACCAAGAAATCAAGGAGAGTTTTATACCTAGTAAAAGACCTACATTTCCTCCAACAGAGTAGATTTGACTGCTGACTTTGACAGCTTTGAGTAAACTAGTTCACGTTGCAAGTAACTACCAAAACTAATGGCATCTATCTAACGTAAACAAAGCTGAGCTTGTCTATGTGTGTGTGTGTGTGTGTTTATAAATTGTACCTAAGTGAGTTATAAGTACCTTTCAGTTTCCCATAATGTTCTGTGAGGACCATTGGCAAGAAATTGTCAACTGTATGTCATTGAAAGCACAGCTCATCAGATAAAATACCAGGGAGATTGCATCAGACAGTAGAGAGATCCTTTCATGCACAACTTAAGAGAGGTGGATGTGAACCTGTCAACTTGTTTTCCTGTGTCTTTAAATCACAGGGCAGTATTTACAACAGACAATGCAGAGGATAAGAAAACTTTTTGCCAGGAAGCTTCACTAGCAGGATAATTTGTGATGTGGTTTTGTGTATTCCTCCTATCCCCCCCCCTCCCCCGTGTCTGCTTCTGCAGTGAAGTTTTATGTCTCAAAGCAACTCTCAAGTGCTTGTTTTAATAAAGTTGATCATAGTGACTACAAAAATGTGATTTTTTTTAATAAGCAAGAAAGTAACTTAAATGACAAATACTTCAGATGAGAGCAGAGCTCTCCTCCTTAAACAGATTTTAGTGTCAGCTCACATTTGCAAATGGTGTGATTTATCCTTGCCCATCCTATAGGGTATAATACCAAGTCCAGCATTAAGAGTTATTACTGAACCTAGAAGGTATTGAAAAGCCTTGGTTTTCTTTTTGAATTGCTATGGGCATTATTCTCATGAATAATGATGAGACCCATAATGTTGAAGCCAGCCACTTGGTTTTGCTTCAAAGTCCTCAGTCTTTGTGCCAGCCCTTTTAAATAAGGTTACTTAACTGGAAAGCAAAAATGGGAGGCCAAAGTGGAGTTTGGAGATACCTTGGGCTGCAGCATGGTTCCTTGCAAAACTGGCTTTCTTCTTAGCAAAAGACACAGAGAGGAACTTGTAAAATGCAGCTTGTGCTCAGCAGCTGTTTCTTACTTCACCCACTCCAGTGTTTAAGAAGTAGAATGATTATTGTTCTTTCTGGTAATCCTTCCCCACCTAATCACAGCTTGTAGCCTGTTAAAAGCATCTTTACAAATGTGTTCTTCAGTTTGCAACTTGGCTGTTTCTCGTTCATCTAGCTGTGAGCAAATGGGGCTGGTAATGGTGAAACCCATCCCAGCCTCCTTGGGTTTTGAGTCTTGAACTGGTGAGAACAGACCAGAATTGTCCTGATGTCTGGTCAGTGCCACTGGCTTTCACAGTGTTGTAAATAGGAGCTGTTAAACTTCTGATTAAATAGTTTTCCTTTTTTCTTTTCTGGAATGAATATTGAAAATGAAGAAGGTCTTTCTTTGCCTTCATGTTCTCAGGAAAGGTTCTTTTTGACACTGATCACTGAGTAGATAGGTGAAACCTTCCTTCCTCTATATATCTAGATAAGAGGTGAAATATTTCAACAAGCTGCATAAGAAAATATTGGGTCCCTTTTAAACAACCGTTGAGTAGGAAGTTTTAGTCTACTAATGTGAAGACACAATAGATAATCAACATGTCTTTTTTGGTTAGAAGGAAGGATATTTTCATTACTGGCCTCCCAAGAGCTTGTTCCTGTTTCGATTTCTCATTTAAATAATACTTCTCTAAATGTGTGTCATTTATACATGGAGCAATCTCTTCAGACTGCAGAAAACTCAGCTGTGCCACATACATTTTAAGCAGCATCTTTCTGATCTAGCAGGAAACCCCTACACTTGTATGGCATAACATTAGCCTTTTTCTTCTGAGTGTGTCTATTTTTCCCTTTGAAAACAGATGGCAGGTCATCAAATATTTTAACACTTGTTCATTCAAGTCATTGAGGCATGCTGATTGGTGTGTGTTGAAAACATTTTCAAGCAGTGTGTAATAAATGTACATTTGGAGTTTATTCCAGGTGCAGAGGGCATCACTCAGGCTAGTTAAGAAAGTAGGTCTTGCAACTGAAACAAATGTGGGTGCTAATAAACTGTCCTACCTTACTTGCAGTCCTTGTATACTCTCCCCCAGCCACAGAAGCAGATTTGGTAAGTTTCACTCTTTCTTTACATCTTTTCCATTCCTTTAAAAGTTACACAGAAATTATGTAGTCTTATCTAATTAAAAGTAGAAGAAAACTCCACAGCAGAAAGACAACTGGAACGAGAAGAGGGTCTTTTGGTCCCCAAGTTGGAATGCAAGATGTACCTCAAATAAATGGCATAATGTACTATTCTCACTTATGTGAGCCTCTGTCAGCAACAAACCGTAAGTGTGCTTCAGAAGATCATGACAGGGCCTTTTCTGACAATGTAATCCTGTAGGTGCCTTCAGGAAACAGGTTAATGAGGTGGTGTGAATTTTACTGGGTCATCACAAAGCAAATAACAACTATCAGGGGTTCCTTCAGCTGCTCAAGTACTGATCAGTTTTTGTTTTTTAAAAAGATTAATGTTTTGCATTTCTCTTCTAATGTTCCAGCCTTTTTCTCCCACAGAAAAGCAGTGTGACAAAAAAGTGAGAAATACCGGATCGCAAAACTCCAGCAGTTTCAAACATGAGGAACAGCATCTCCTGCAAACTTCTGGGTCCAGCAGCAGCTCCCTGAATAATCCAGCTTAATCTGCAAGTCAGTGTAATAAGTAACAATAAAAAGAAAACAACTGAAGGATTTCAGCAGCAACATTCAGCTGCAGAAGGATGTAAGTGTCACAGCAGCGACAGACACAACTCTCTGAGCTCAGGTAAGAATATATCAGAATGTTCTAGAACCACTTGAAATTTGATTATCAGTTATGAGTCTTTCAGCAGAAGTTTAAAATAGGATAAAACATCAAAATCATGTTCAGCAGAGAGAGTTTACTAATTGAGAAGAAAAAGTGATTGTTTTGTCAGCCTAAGGTAGTGAAGAGTATCTCAATGGAGCAAAAGCTGTTTGCAGACTAGGGGATCAGTGTGATCACAGGCATGTACCTGTGCATGGAAGTAAGAGACAAAGGGAACAGTAAAAAAGCACACTGCCCAAGACAGCTGCAGTAGCCCCAGATGGGTAGGGAGCTGGCTCTGATCCAGGGCTCTGTATTAATTTTTATGGCTTTTTGGTGTTTTTTTTTATTTCTGGGATGATTTTATGGTATCAAAAAAACCCTAAAATATTACAGAATCAACTTCACTAGCCTGCCTAAATGAAGTGAAGCAAGAAGCAAGAAGATATTTAGTGTCTATTTAACATTAAGTCAAAGAACTGGGTAAAAGAATATGACTGTCCTGTTCTGGGTTTTATTCTTCCCTGTTGAATGTGTTTTCTGTTCATTTGACAGGGCATTCTGATAACGGAGGAATGCAGGTGAATGTGACTTGTATTGTTAAAGTATGCAGTCCAGACTGCAGTTCCCAGTTCCCAGAACAGACTAGTTCAACTAGCATGGATTATGGAAATGCTCCCTATTATTCCCCAACAGGGGAAGAAATTCCCCCTTCAAGAGAAGAACACCTCTTGAAAAAAGGAACTGAAATTCAGACCTCAGTGGAAAATGAGGACAATTTACTTCAAGGCTCACTGTCAGAAGAAGTTTCCTCTGGGTATTGAAGATGTGGGGATGAAAACCAGTTAAAGGAAATTACAGATCATATACTGACTGACTGATAACATCACCAAATAGCCCCTTCTCTTCCAAAATAACCATTATGTTAAATGTCGCATTCCTACAGAGACATGACATTTCAGATGAACATAGACACTGAGGTTTGGAGGGTTTTTGTCTCTTTTGTCAGCTTTGCGAGTCAAATGATGATCTTTGCAGTTTAAAAAACTTGAATGCCTTTTCTTTTAAATTGAGTGGCCAACTCCTCCCCTTCTTCTGTGACACCCTAGGGAGACCTTTACCAGATTTGAAAATGAGTATTTTTTTCCAGCTTTATGCTTTTTATTTTTCTCCTGAGACTCCTTGTGATGATAACCTGGGTTCAGGTATGCCACCTGGCAAGAACATGGCTGTGACCAGCACTTCTAAGAAACTGGAGTTAAACTTTCATGCAATGCTAATGAATTATCCATTGATTTTAATTTTAAAAGTACTGCATTCAGTTTCCTATCCCATGTCTTTGTGGACATACTTGTCCTCATCATCCTGGATATTTCTTTCATTATTACAGTTTTTGCTTGTTATTGGACCAAACTTCAAAACAACCTTAAGTATAAAACCACCTTTTCTTATTAGATTACAACTATTATGTCTGAACAATGGCATTTCATTAGCTGTACAGTTCATTTTATTTTAGAAAAGAAAATCTAGATTAAATAGTTGTATCTTGGAGTAGAAAGTAAGTTCCTTTTCCTGACAGCTCTGAAGTTTATCATCTTTGTGTCCTGGCTGATTTAATGTGGTTCCTTGATGGATTCTGAGCTCATTTTTGAGGTTAACCATTGTCCTGGGTTTAGCCCGCGACACCATAAACCCAAAATTATTTTTCCCTGTGTTCCAGTGAGTATTAGAGAAGACCCATGTGAATACATATGCCAGATAGCTCATGCCCATTGACCTCAGGAAAAAAGCTCTTGAAAAAAACCTTGGAACCAGAAAATCCTGTTCTTCTCGCATGACGCAGAAGATCTAACTACCTCTTACACAAAAGAGGGAGGTTCAAGGTTCTCCTTGAATCAAGTGGGAGTCTTTTGATTTTGGAAGTCAATTTTCAGGATCCCAATTCCCATAATTATATATTACAGCTGTGACCTACCCAACAATTGTGGCGTCTGTATTCAACCAGAATTTGCAACTTGGCTTACAATGTCTGAATTACATTGGAGTGAAGTCATAGAGTGGGCATAACTTTTTTATGGCATAAACCCTACTGTTGGACTAGATGATCACTGTACTTCCCTTCCAACTGAACTAGTCTACCTCAAGAGGAACTAAATGCAGTAATTGCTGAGGCCTTAGACTGAAAAGGGGCATTTTAGAATAGCATTTATTCTACAGGTACAGAAAAGATGCAGGTTTTAAAAATTCAAATGTTAAACTTCCACAACAGCTATGAGGTTTATTAATTTTACTGCTGGAACTGAGAACTGGCAAACAGGTCTTTAATTCTACTGTGAAGAAACCTTTTACAGCTGTATACTGAACTTGAAGGGAATACTTAGAAAAGACTTTGCAAATGCACACACTGGAACTATTACAAAACTGAAGGATTTAGACAAGAACCAAGTCTTACACAGCACTTTGAGCCTCTTGCACTGTGCTGAGTATTCTCATGTCATCTTCCAGTATTAGGACCACACTGAAGAAGCAGTGGAAAGTATTTCTAAAAACGTTTAAAATCAGGATACTGTTACAGCATTTAATTTACTGGGTTCTCCAAATTTTAGAGCTGTGTTACAGAAGGAAAATCCAAGTTTTTTGTCAAAATAGGAAAAATGTGCTTGCATCTGCTTATAAAAAGGCTGCGTTTTTGTAATTACATGTGCCTTTTAACTTTTCTGATGTCTTCATTAATCTAAAAGAGGTTGTAGTGAGGTGGGAGTTGGTCTCTTCTCCCAGGTAACAAGGGCAAGAGGAAACAGCCTCAAGCTGCATCAGGGGAGGTTTAGATGGAGCTGAGGAACAATTCCTTCCCCAAAGGGTGCTCAGGCATTGGAACAGGCTGCCCAGGCCAGGGTGGGGGTCACCGTCCTTGCAAGTGTTCACACACCATGGAGACGAGGCCTCAGTGCCATGGGTTAGTGGTGGCCTTGGCAGTGCTGGGGAATGGTTGCACTCGATGATCTTAAAGGCCCAACCCATTTGATTCTGTGATTGTATTCCAGAAGGGGTTCTTCTGCACAGGTTAAGCTGCTCCTTGCCCAACAACTGTATCTGATCATGCGACGGCCTCATCACAAGAGGGCCGACTCGCTGAGGCCTGCGCACGGACTCCACTGGCTGCCACAGTCGCCAGCAACCAGCACGGCTCCTCCACCCTGGCGCTGGTGAGCATCGCCCCGGCGGTGGCAGACAGGCTCCGCCTCTCTGTTTACTCGGCGGGTGACAGCGACCCCGCGGCCCCCTGTGAGGTGAGGGTCCCTGCCTGCCCTTGTTCGCTCCACGACGCCGCGAGCGGCAGCGCGCAGCAGAGCTGGATCACGATCGGCCCCACAATTCTGCCGAGCCGGCTCCGCCTCAAAGAGGCGGGGAGGGTGCGCAGCGGTAGCTCGGCGTTCCCCTGTCCCGGCGTGCCCCTGTCGGTGGGCTCGGATCGATTAACGTGCGGCCCGCCGGTCCCGCGCTCTGTCAAGGAGGCGGCCGCCACCGGGAGCCCAGGTAGGTACCGGTGGGAGGGGGGCACGGGCAGCGCCGCATTGCCGGCGCAAGGCCCCGGTTGTCCTTCTCTCCTGCGTCAGCCCCGGCTCTCGGCTCTGCCGCGGCGGAAGGGAGCGGGCCCGGCCCTGGGGGGCCCTCCCTGTCTCACGCCCCTCGCGGGGCTCCGCCCCGGCACCGTGGGGGAGAGGGGCAGCCCAGCAGTGGTTCACGCTGTCTGCTGGGGGCTGGGGCTGCGGTGGACGGCGCTCCTGTTTTCCGCTGCGTGCTGCCCCCGCGCCGGGCCGGAGCCTCTGAGGCTCCCCCACTCCTGTCGCAGGCCGCTTGCTGCCGGCCACTCCGCGGTTCCCTCAGGGCTCGTTTCCGCCTCCCCGGGCAAGGTGACCTTTCGCTTCTCCTGCGACCCGCCGTGCGTGCCAACAGGTCTCTTCCGACACGCGGGGTTTTGCTTGTGGAGAGAGAAGGGACCGGGTCCTGAAGGCTCCTTCCCACCCTGTTTTGTGAGGGGCCCTGAGGAAAATACCCCCTCGCTTTGCCCTGCCAGGCAGCCCCGGCCCAGCGCGATCGCTCCTTGCCGAGCAACTCCGGCGCCGCTCCTTCAGGGCCTCCTCTTCCTCCCTGTTGGAAAAATTGCATCTTTTTTTCAGAGAAAATGAGCCAGCTTTGAGCGGGGTCCTGGGTTGGACTTTGAGTCTCATCCTGGTAAGTGGTCTCTGTGCCTTTTGTACTATGTATGCCAAGAAAATCAAAACGCTGCTGTAGAAAATGTTTTGTTTTCGACTTGTATAGCAGTGGACTTGAAAGTTACACGTGTAAAAGCTTTAAGACAGTTGAAAGATTCCCGAGTAGTTGCCTATGTTCCACAAGTTTAGGTCACGGGGATGGTCTACTTTATTTACAGTTCTCATGATTTGAGGCATGGCCTTGTTCATGCAGCAGAGGTTTTCAGTCACAGGGATGTTAACCTGCCCTTCTGTTTCTTCAAGATGTTGCCTCTGATTTGCCTCCCAGCACTTATAGAGGACTTGCTTTTTTCACTTATTTTGTTAAGGGTGACAATGAGAAGGATAGCTGTAACTGCTTTTGTTTGAACTTCAGCTTTCTTGTCAATTTCATTAGAGTAAAATCCTATTGTGTAGGGTGGTGGCTCGCATGTACAAATGCTCGGTCTTTATCATGTGGAATAATACTATTATTTTTGAAAACTTTTTCCAAAACTTTTTGAAAATTTGCAAGGACAAAAATGTTACAGTTGCTTAACATGAAGATACATCTTTTTTCAAATGTAACTTCTCTGTGGTTTTGATGTTTGTCTTTCTGCATGGCCTCACCTGGAGTATTGTGTACAGTTCTGGTGTCCTCAACATAAAAAGGACATGGAACTGTTGGAAAAAGTCCAGAGGAGGCCACGAGGATGCTCAGGGGCTGGAGCACCTCCTGTATGAAGACAGGCAGAGAAAGTTGGGGCTGATCAGCCTGGAGAAGAGAAGGCTGCGTGGAGACCTCATAGCAGCCTTCCAGTATCTGAAGGGGGCCTATAGGGATGCTGGGGAGGGACTCTTCATTAGGTCCTGTAGTGATAGGGTAAGGGGTAACGGGTTAAAACTTAAACAGGGGAAGTTTAGATTGGATATAAGGAAGAAGTTCTCTACTGTGAGGGTTGGTGAGGCACTGGAATGGGTTGCCCAAGGAAACTATATGCTCCATCCCTGGCAGTGTTCAAAGCCAGGCTGGACAGAGGCTTGGGAGACATGGTTTAGTGTGAGGTGTCCCTGCCCATGGCAAGGGAGTTGGAACTAGATGATCTTAAGGTCCTTTCCAACCCTAACTGTTCTATGATTCTGTGACAGAATAGTTTCACTTTTGAGTCTTTAGATAAAGCCTTTAATTACTTGCTTAATTCTAGTATTATATTTAACTATATTAATTATTTCCACTCACTTTTTTTTAAAGAAACAAAGGCTTAAAAGGGGCTGCCAAAAATCAAGCAACCATTGTTACATAAAACCCTTGAATCTTAATATAAAATGTAAAATGTAACTCTAGAAGTTGTTTTCTTCTGCCATCAGATGTAAGTGCCTTTTTTGTTCTGTAGAACTAAATGTTACATACACTGGTTTAGGGACTTAAGTGGAATTGGACTTTTTTAAACATGGGACTGATACATTTACTGCATCCTGACCACAAGATATCGCCTGTGTGCTTTTTTCTTTATTGTAATAACATGCTTGATCCTGCCCTTGTGGAACCTAACAGCAGAAGAGCATGAAGGGAAATGTTTACATGTATGACCACTATTGCTTCTCTCAAGTGCTTTCTTGGCCTTCCTTGATACAGTAATCTGTGCTGTCACTTTGAAAACCTGTTAAGAGTAGTTGTTGATGAGCTATTTATGGGATTCCGATCTGATTACTTCCTACACTGACAGCCTTCCTGAAAAAAAAAAAAAAAAAAAAGGTTTATGGAGGGTGAGTTGTTTCACCGATGTCATGTAAGAATTCTACAAAAATCCAGTCAAAGGCTGGGCTGTTACTTTAGACCAGGCTTCCAAAACCAGATTGCTGGCAATTTGAAGAAAATGCTGGCAGCAGAAGTCAAGGAGGCCAGTGCAAAATTGCTTCAGATGAATGTGGAATTTTAGTCTTACCTTTTCTTAAAGAGGACTGTAGATTGGCCTTGTTGGTTATTGCAACAAAATGTGGTGTTTTGATTAGAGAAAGGATGAAAAAATAAACTTAATTTACAATTAAAGTTGTCTGTAATTGTCAAAGATCTATATGAAACTCTGATTTGAAACTTAAAGGGCATAGCATAAAGTATTTTTTTATGGTGGAAATCAAGCTTAGTGTCTTTACTGCTTTTTAGGTCAATTACAGTAAAAATTACAGTGATAGTAGTATGTGAGCTCTGCTGAGTGTGTGTGTTTCAGGCAGTCGCTTTCTTCATATTTTTTCTTTCAGAGTGAGACTATGGAACAGAAATACAGAAAATGACAGAAAAACATTAGTTGCCCTCTTCTAGGACAGTCATGTTGGAAGGATTGGTAGCCTGGGTCCTCAACACCTATTTGGGCAAATATGTCAATAATCTGAACACAGACCAGCTTTCAGTCGCTCTTCTGAAGGGTGAGGCTTTGGAGTATTTTCTGTAGCATTTGCATATTGTGTTTGGTTTATTTATTTTTTTTTTTATTGTGTTTTTGCAATAACTGGAAAGTGGAATAGAAACAATCATCTAATGCTGTGTTTAACATTTATATAAACCCTTTTCACATAGAGTTTTGTGCTAGCACTTTACATGATCAGTCAGATCTCTTGTGTGCCTCTGCTGCTTTTTATCAACACTATTAAACCAATTTATAAAAAAACATTCAAAAGTATGCTTAGCATATTTTATCAGCATGTGTAATTTATATAATATTTGACTGTCATTTTCTTAATACTGTTCAGTAATTTTCCTTTTGAGAGAATGTGGCACTGTTCCATAGTCTTTACCTCTTACATTTTGGTACTAGTAGTTAAGTTAGTAACAAAGACTTCTGGTTTGGCACGTTATGTCCACAAGTCTTGTATTTTTACAAAGCCTCAAATCAGTGCTTTTTAATTTACATTTTGCTGCTGTTATCTGCTATTTCTGGAGAGAATGTAACACTTCAAAATGTTCTTTTCTGGGCGTGCTTTTTGAAGTATTGAGAAAATTCTTTAAGTATCTCTCCTGAACAGACAATGAGGAGGTTTTTCCTTGGTTACAGTAAAGTGCAGATCTAAAACCTTGCAGAAGATGGCTTCTAGATGGCCTCATCAAACAGTTTCAGCACATGACATTGGAAAATTAACAAGTAGTATTATTAACTAATCATTGGTATTGTAGCATAACTTGAAGTGGCAGGTTGGTTGTTCCCATCCTATTTGGTGATATTTTTCTTTAGAACAGTCATTTTAGGCTGAGAATGTTTAAGTTGACCATCTCTAATATAAATGTGTTTTTATGCTTTGTGTAGGTGCTGTTGAATTGGAAAACTTGCCACTAAAGAAAGATGCCTTGAAGGAACTGGAATTACCTTTTGAAGTAAAGGCAGGTTGGTATTTTGCTTATGTGTGCAGGACAAACATTTATAAACAGGCAGTATTGCATAGTTTAGAAGAACGTTTACCTGTGAATCGAAAGCTTGAACAAATGAGGTAGCCTGGTTTTTAGGTTATCTAATTCTATTTTAGTCTGTTTGTTTCTTGTACCACTTTTTTTTCAGGTTTTGCAAGGGTGATGTATATTTACACAGGAATCTGATAGCATCTCTGTTCTGTATATCTAGGTTTCATTGGGAAAATAACACTGCAGATACCTTTTTACCGTCCACATGTGGATCCATGGGTAATATCTATCTCAAAATTACACTTAATTGGTGCACCAGAAAAAAAAGAAGATTTTGATGAGGAAAAGGAGAAGTTGCAAGAGAGAGAACGCAAAAAAGCCCTTCTCCTAGCACTTGAGGAAAAATGGAAAGTGAGTCACACATGTCTTTCATGATGAAGAACTGCTATGATAGATGGATTGCATTTAAATCTCCTAATGAATTCCTAGGAGTTCCTAACAAATTCATAACAAGTTTCTAGGAGAACAAATGCATGGGAAGCTAAGTTAGAATTTGATTCATGCATGCTAACACAATGCAGTTTCTGCCTTACCTCTGTCATGCCACATGTCCCACCTATGTTGGGAATACTCAAACTGCAGGGTTTTTATTTTCTCCCTGTTCACAGTAATTTCGGTGTAACAAGGTGTATTGTTTCCTGACAGTTGTTACAGTGTTGGTTAATGCTTTATCCCGATTTTCTGTTTCAGAAAGAACAACAACAGAAAGGGGAATCCTACTGGTACTCAGTTACTGCATCTGTAGTCACAAGAATTGTAGAAAACATTGAAGTAAGCTTTTGCATTGTAGACCTTTTCCCACTTGTTAAGAATTATTTGTGCCCACTGTGCTTTACATTGTGTAGCCCTTAGAGGAGAAAGGTAGGTATTTGGCAGAGGACAGTCCCTTTTCAGATTGAACCTTCATAACTTCAGTCTTAAGCTAGTCCTTATGAGGACTTCTGGAAAGGAAATGCCCTCCATCCTGCTTTTACCAAGGGGAAAAACATAAACTTTTGCTTTTCTTTTTTTTTTTTTTTTTTTTTTTTTTTTTTGGTAACATTAGGTAGATAATAAATTTGCGTGAAATTTGATGGCTTTTGCTCACATTTTAATTCTTTGGTTTATAAACACGCCGAAATAGTTGAATTGTTTATGAAGCAGAGGAGCATGAAGTGTTTTGATAAAAAGATAATTTGTAAGGAAACAAATCTCTTAGCTGGTACATGATTTGGATTATTTCACTGTGTGTTGTCTCTCCAGTTCTTTAATTATTATTTTTCTACTATTAATAAAAATCTGCCATGTATCTTCTAAGTTTCAAAATGACTTGAAAGTATGGCTGTTATGCTCTATTGCTTTTTCTAGTGGAAGTCCTAGTGTAGTTAATGACATTTTTAGCAACATTTACATCATTAATCATTTGTGTTTAAGAACCGGAAGCTGTCTAAATATTAGTTGTTATCAGTTGTCTGCCACCATGAAAGCATTGTCCTTTCTGTCTTCTTACATGCAGGTAGACTCACTATGTTGTTTGGTTGCTTTTCAGCTCACTAGAGGCATTGGCTTTACTAATGTAAAATCAGTTTGGGTCAGCTGGTACTGTTAATAGTTTGTAGTTCTGGCCTGTGTTGATGATTCTAGTACATGATTTTAGTCTTCAGTTGGCAATTACACACTGAATTACAGATGTAATTCAAATTTGCCTCTAAGATGGAGAATAATAGCATAGCAAAATAAAGTACAATGCCTTGTGAAAGTGACTAGTTGGTTTTTTTTGGAGAAGGGCAGGGACTACTGGTATCTGAAGAGAAAGCAGAACCAGAAAGTACCAAAACAGAAGTGAGAAATAGGATTTCTGTGAGGTCTAAACACCAGAAATTTTTTGTAAAATTGCAGAAATTAAATTGCTTTGTTATTAATGAATGATACTACTGTCTGCTCTAATGATTTAAGTAGTTGTCTCTAATGGGTTTTTTTTCTGTTTAGTTAAAAATTCAGGATGTCCACTTGAGGTTTGAAGATGGTGTCACAAACCCTTTGCAGCCATTTGCATTTGGCATATGCATCAAAAAAGTATCCGTGCAAAATGCAGTATTTGAACCAGTGAGTATAACTTTATGTATGAACTCATGGCAGCTAAGATATGGTGCTCTACTTTATGGGTGCTGTTAAATATTTAGTAAAACATAGGGAATTTTAATAATCTTCTGGTTATTGTAAGAAATTGATTGTGGGCATTTCATATTTTTCATTGAATATGTAAAAATAAAAACTACATGGCACATGGTGTGTGATCTTGACTTTATTCTGCTTTTCTTCTTCAGGTAGAGAAGCTGATGCGTAAAAAACAGTTGGATGTTGCTGACTTCAGTGTTTATTGGGATACCAACTGCACTTTACTGGGAGACCTGCCTCCTGGCCAGCTACAGGTGCAAGAGGGAGATTTTGCGTATGAAAAAGGGATTGTAATTTTTGTTAGTTTCTTTCCTATTTTTCAGACCTAATTGACTTAGAATTTGTTTGATCTAGTGCTTTTAAGAGCAAAAGGAGTGGTTCATGCTATGATGATAGAATACCTGTGCAATTCACAAAGGCTGTGCTGTGAAATACCTTGTTTTACCTTTGAAGAGAGAACATGTTTAGGAAGTTTTTTAATGGACTGGCATCCTAATCAAGTGTAATCTCATGAAACCAAAACCAATTCTAGTAGGTATTCTACACTCATTTCTTAGAGAATAAATCTGCTTGTAACCCACAGGAAGCAATGGATAAAAGTATGGAAAGTCATGATCATAATTACATCATGGAACCTGTATGCGCTTCCGCTCTTCTTAAGAGAAATTGTTCTAAGGAGCCTTTAAGATCACGCCAGACTCCACGGCTTGAGTGTGACATTCAGCTTGAGACTATACCCTTGAAGCTTTCACAGGTAAATACCAACTGTTCATTTAATTTTCAGTATTTGAAAGAGACTGTTGAGAAGCAGGGTAAACGAGGCCATTGTGAACTCTGTGCTATTAACTGCATTAGGCTGCTTTGGCTGTCCAGATTAGTTGGTCTCAAGATTTCCTATGTGTCTGTATGCTGCACTGCACACTGCTCTATGTCAGTTTCTAGCAAAATGACCGATTAAAGAAGGTAGTCCTTCATGCTTTGGTTACCACAATGTCTACAGATCCAAATTGGTTTGACACAGAGTGTATTTTTTACCTTGCCACATGCTCCAACCGTTGTCTGTATGTCAGTGCTTCTGAAGATTCTGCTGGGAAAATGCCAGTTATCTCTATTAGTTATCTCTAAGAAAACAGGTACTGATTCTGACAGTGAAATACCTGTAGGGATCATAGAACTGGGGTAGTGTTTGGAACAGCTTAAATACCAATTACTGTAGTTTAAGATTAATATTTTCTTAAAGATTTAGTTTTAGAGGCAACTGAAAGGGACCTGAACAAAGAAGTTGTTTGTATTAAACCCAAGCATTCAGAATTATCTTACTACAACCGATTATTGCAAAAAACCTTACATTCTTGTTTGCTCATTATAGTAATAGGGGGGAAGTATTTGGGGGTTTTTAGTCTATAGAATACACAATAGTGGCTGATGTTAGGTTGATAATTTGACATGGAAGGAGACTTCGTTCTCTGCATTTGTAAATAAAGAAGCTTGTAAATTGAATGTCACACATTAGCTACTAGCTACTGGGAGAAGATACATGATACTGGAGAACCAAATTATGAATTATAATTAACATCAACCTTAATTCTGAAGCCATCTACAGGTCATTGATGCAGATAAACCAAACCTATGCTTGGGGTTTTGTTTGTTTTGTCTTTTCTTTCCCTTTGCTTTGGAAAACACTCCAGTATTGCCTAATTAATCTGTGTACTGTTTTACTAAAAGATGCAGTACCAGCAGATCATGGGATTTCTAAAGGAACTGGCTAGAAAGGAGCGACAGCTTAAATTCAGGAAGTGGAGACCAAAGGTTCCGGTAACACAGAAGTAAGTATATCTAAATGTGGTAGTGTTAATATGATATTATAAACTACGCCAGGGAGCCTCAATGAAGACAAGTATAAAAAGAGCAGCCCTGCGGAGGACTTGGGGGTGCTGGTTGATGAGAAAATGAACATGAGCCGGCTTCAGTGTGCGCTTGCAGCACAGAAAGCAGCCATATCCTGGGCTGCATCAAAAGGAGCGTGACCAGCAGTTCGGAGGAGGTGATCATGCCCCTTTGCTCTCATGAGACCTCACCTGGAGTATTGTGTGCAATTCTGGTGTCCTCAACATAAAAAGGACATGGAACTGTTGGAACAAATCCAGAGGAGGCCACGAGGATGATCAGGGGACTGGAGCACCTCCCATATGAAGACAGGCAGAGAAAGTTGGGGCAGTTCAGCCTGGAGAAGAGAAGGCTGCGTGGAGACCTCATAGCAGCCTTCCAGTATCTGAAGGGGACCTATAGGGATGCTGGGGACGGACTCTTCATTAGGTCCTGTAGTGATAGGGCAAGAGATAACGGGTTAAAACTTAAACAGGGGAAGTTTAGATTGGATATAAGGAAGAAGTTCTTTACTGTGAGGGCTGGTGAGGCACTGGAATGGGTTGCCCAGGGAGGTTGTGAATGCTCCATCCCTGGCGGTGTTAAAGGCCAGGTTGGACGAGGCCTTGGGTGATATGGTTTACTGTGAGGTGTCCCTGCCCATGGCAGGGGGGTTGGAACTTGATGATCTTAAGGTCCTTTCCAACCCGAACTATTCTACGATTCTGTGATTCTATAAAAAGGCAGATAATAATCATATACTAGAGTTCCAATTTTCATGTTTTGTTTCCACACCTCATGAATCAGTTTTAAATATTCAGATGTAATTCAAACTTAAAATATAATTATTCTTACCTGAGGCTTTAAATCCTGTCACAGCTTCCAAGAACTGAAATGAAGTTGGAGGTTCTACCCCAAAGCACACATTGTGGTGTTCTGAAATTTTCTTTGGGCAGAGCTTCTCTTAAGATTCTTTTATTGATAAATAAGCATGATAGTATCAGTTCAGGCTAGAGGTCTATGTAGCTCAACATTTTGTTGTCTATGCCTGATCCATGACAGCTATAGTAAATCCCACTGGATTGGTGGCGATTTTAGAGCACTTTCTCCACAACCGGCAGAATTGGCCCACATATGCTGTCTCTAATGCTGCTGCTTTTGCTGGCCAGTTGCTCTCTTGTTTTTTCACTGAAACTCTCCTGGACCTATCACCAGTTTGACATGCATGTGGTTTTTTGGGAAAATTGGTAATAGTCATTCACAAATGTTTCAGCTGCCAAGAATGGTGGATCTTTGCTTTGAATGCTAATCTGTCGGAGATCAGGGAGCAGAGGCAGCGCTCCACCTGGGAGTTTGTATTACATCGGGCCCAAGATGCAGTGTCTTACACTGACCTGTATTACACCAAGTTGAAGGGGGAACCACTGTCTGCTGCAGAGCAGGTATTTGGATTTGAGTGAGTTTTCTACAGTGTTGATTAATCATCTTTGGTTTGATTTGTTTCATCTTCTAAATTTTAGATCTGTTCTAGTTTAGACACATCTTTAGTTTTACTGCAGGCGATTTTCACTGAAGAGGCTGTGCTTTAACTTCAGCTGAGTTTTTAATGCATGAAACCTGGGCTTGTGGGAGGTGTGGGTTCTTGTGGTTTTTGTTTTGCTATGCAAAAAGCTGCCTTTTTTTTTTTTTTTTTTTTAGCTATCACTGCTTTTCACCAAAAATAACATTAACTGCCACAGAATTCCCCTGCCAGTCTGTGACATGCTTTCTTAACTCGTGTTCTCTATAGACTCAAAAAGTATTTACACATCTGAGTGTGTCAGGTCACCCATATGGCTGGGTAGATAATATGGAAGAAATTGTGCCTAGTTGACAGTGTATTTAGGGGTGCTTTGTTGTTTTTTTTTTTTTTTTGTTTTCCACAATTGATTTTAGGATGGAGGATGTAGAGGTGAAGTGCCCCTAGTACTGAACCTGTGCCCTACTTCAGAACAAGAAAAGCCCATGGCCTATAATTAGCTGCTTTTTATCCTTAGGTGTATTGGTACTTTTTAGTTAAAACAGCTCAGGGCAACATGTACCTCACCTGTCTGAATTGCGGGTGTGATTCTATTGGTACGTTTATGTAATCTTTACTTGTGCTATTTAGACATGAACTGTAGGAGTTGGTCAGCATACTGGAAATTTTCTAGTACCTGCCAAAGCAGGAGATTTCCTATAGCTTGTGTTGTCTGCAGCAGAGCTGTGAAATGTAACCGGGGCAATACCACTGGACTGGAAAAATGTCTTTTGATTTCTTGTTCCATAATGTGTTTTTTTTAGACATGGGTGAATCATAAGCTTCCTCAAAGAACTTCTTAATCAGTACAAAGAGGGCAAAATGTCTGAGTACCTGAGTATGAATACTACATTGTCCTGACTTATGCAGTTCATTTCCTCTCCCTTCTTTACTCAAGACAGAAGCTTTTTTTTTGCTCCTGGCTATGCTAGGCATTCTGTTAAGTCAGGTTATTTTCCATGGCTTAAATTTTGCACTGCCAACTTTGCTTCTGATGTATTCAGAGAAGGATAGGGTTGGGCAAGGAATTTTTACAAATAAAAGTGTTAAAAGTATTCTACAATGCAAATTTTATTTGTAACACAGGGAATGTCAGCGTTACGGTTGCCCATGTGACTTCTGTTTATTTCTTCATGTGCTGAGGCACTTAGATAATACCATGCATGACATGTTAAGATTTTTCAGTGAATCTCTAACTTACACAGTGCAGAGATGTTTGATGTGTTTGTGTGTAAGGTGCTATATTCTTTTAGTTCATTTACTTTACCATTTTTGTCTTTTTCAGGCAGAAATGCATCGTATTGAAGATGAGCAAACATACGAAGAGTTGAAGATACTATATGAGATAGTTCATGATAAAATTCATGACTTAGCTGAGGTGAGGAACATTCTGCCTACAGGGTAATATTTGGAATCTTTATGAGAATTATTCTGAGATTTTTGTGTTCTTTTCTGCTAGAGTATTAGTATGTGTTTGCTTTCATTTAGAAGTGTGTCATTACTCATAGAATCATAGAATAGTTTGGGTTGGAAGGGACATTCAGAGCTCATCTACTCCAACCCCCCAGCAGTGAGCAGGGACATCTTCAACTAGATGGGGTTGTCAAATGACTTACTTGATTTAGTATTTTTAGACTGAGATTTAAATCATGCCATATGGCTTGGTATATGAACATGCAGCAGTTAACTGATAATAGGTTTGCCATTTCTTTGCTGCTGCTCTCCTAATAGGCTAAGTATTGATTGAAAATATCACTGCTGATATACTGCAGAATGCTGAGTAAATAGTAGATGGAACTGCATTTTTATTGTGATGTTTTTGTACACATGTGGTATTCTTTTACTTACCAGCAGTAATGTGTCTGTCTTCAATGTTCAAACATAGAGCATTAAAGAGCCCTTGCCTTATTCCCCTGGAGGGTCCCCTACAGCAGAATCTGCACATGGCAGTAGCACTGGAATGCTGCAGTATCTTCAGTCATGGTTTCCTGGATGGGGAGGTTGGTATGGATATGCTCAGCAAGCATACGAAGGGGAACCATTTGAAGGGCTGCTGACAGACCCAAAGGAACAGTGGAATCCAGAGGACATACTGGGTATGGAAATGAAGGGCTTTCTGTTTCTTTTTAAGGCTATGAACTGTACCGTAGTTAGATACCTGTTAAAGGTGAGCAGAATCACCTCTTTGTTTCTGTCAACTACCTGTTTAAAGCTTAATAACTTGTTAGAAAATAGTAATACCTGGTGTACCTGCTTATTTATAGCAATATATTGTATACATTTGCTTCCAATATTATTTATGGCGAAGAGCTTTGGGACTTTCTCTGTTTCTCTGGGTATAACATTAACATTACTGGATTATTGGGGTCTTCATAAATTTAGGTTCACATTACCTTAATTGAAATAGAAGAATTCTCCAGAATATTCAGTTTTGTTAAAGAAGAAAGTATACCAGCTTTATCTTTTGTTTCTGTTTTTCTTCCCTAGAGCTGGGAAAATCTTTATTTTCAAATTCAGAGAAACTTTTCTGTTCTTTTGTAGCCTTACAGAACCTTGACTTACTTAACGCATTGTTTTGTATTTTATTTAATTAGGTACAGATGAGTTTTTTGACCCTGCTGCAGATGCTTCTAGCATGAATACCTTTACAAAGAGAGATCATATTTTTGCTAAATTTAATCTACAGTTGCAGGGTGGCTCTTTCACTCTGTTGCATAAAAAGAAGAAGGTGGTGCATGCTGAGGAGACTGCTTTTATACAGCTGGAGTTTTCAGGTATTAAGTGAATTTCTCTTCTTTCTCCAAAAAGGCCAGAGCTTTGTCTGCCTTCAGTCCTTCCTTTTAGTTTTTGTTTCAGTTCTTTAAATGACTATACAGAAACGAAGTTCAAACTGAAAACATGAAAACAGCTTGTGGAAATCAGTGTGGCAAGTGAAAATAAGTTTTTCCAGATGTATGATTTCAACACAGAAATCTAACTTTAGACACTGTTACGTATGAAAGAATGGCAACTATAGCAATATATGCTTGACAATCATTTCATGTGTTCCAAATATCCATGTTTAATTATTTTAGTAGAAATAAATATATTTTTAATATATTTAATAAACATATATAAAGTGCTTCCAGAAGACTTATTTGTTGCATGCTTTATCTGTCAAATTTAAATAAAAGCTATGATGTGTACTAAAAGAAATAAAATTATTTTATGTATTTATATTCCAGGTGTAAAGATCTTAGCAGAATCCCTTCCTCGCAGAAATTCTTCCCTTCTCAGAGTTCAGCTTGGTGGTCTTTTTCTGAGGGATTTGGCAACAGAAGGAACCATATTTCCTGTTCTTGTTTTCCCAAATCCTGTAGGTGAACAAAACCGCTTTTAAGTTACTAACACATGAATGTATGAAAATAGTTCTATTCCAAAGCTCAACACTTCTTTGTGTCTTGTCCCAGAAAAAGAACATAAAAGTCTTGGAAGAATTCCACTTAACTTTTCCCCTCCCTTTCTAGAGATCATTCATAGAACTCCTCGTGTTTGCTCTGTGTGCTTGTAACGTTAATGTTACAGCTAATACGTGTTGGGAAGAAGATAGTTTATTGAATGAGATTTGATATTTGGAGCTATCAGCATCGCTACTTAATCAGTGGTTGTTCTGTTTCATAAAACTTTTTGGTCCAAGTGAGGTTTACTTCACCTGTATACTGTTAAACTAAAAGCAGAAATACAGAACTCTTCTTTTTTCCTTCTGAATGACTTGCTGAACAGGTTTCAAATATCTCTCCTGAGCAACCAAAATTTGAATCTAATTCCATGAGAATTTCCCATGTATTCTGCACTTTGTAATTTGTAGAGTGATATCTGAAATCTGCCCTTCAGACTTCAGGCCCTCTCTGCTACATGAGTAGATAGTGTTAGCTGCTTAGTCATACTTCCTTCTCTTGTTTGACTGCATCAGGGGAAAAAAACGCTTATAATGATAAACTAATATATGATAAATGAACAATTCAGTTATAAAGTGACAATAAGACTAATACAGAAGAGACTTGTGTGCTTATATCAGTGGCTTGGTTGATTTTATCTAAACAATCTTTTTCTTTTAAATTCTTCTCAGCAGAAAGAGGTTGGCTGCATGTCTTCCTTTGGACTCCAGAGTTTGTCCTCAGAAATGACTAATCAGAACACTGGTAAATATTTCATTATGTGTTTGATGGTAACAAGCATATCAGATCATTCGTACAAAGCACAATTTCAAAACTGAGTGCTTAGAGTTTGAATTCATGCAAATGCTCTTGCAAATAGTAAAGATAAAATCATAGAAGCTTTGTTCAGACATAAGGGTGCAGGTAAGAAGAATTTTCAGACATGTATTGCTTTCCTGGTAGTTCCAGTTAAAAATTAGTTACTAAATTCTGTGGGGTTTGGGTTTTGCTTTTGTCCATTTGTTTGTTTCAGGTTTGCTTTTTTTTACAACTGCTTTTTGTAACTCATTTTTTATTTGGTTGCAGATCCTGATGCCCCAGTATTTGAGATGCTTTATGAGAGAAATCCAATCCACAGCACTTTTGAGAGGCGCCTGGAAGTCAGTACCAGACCTCTCAATATTATTTACAATCCACAAGCCATTAAGAAAGTAGCTGACTTCTTCTACAAGGGAAGAGTTCATACCTCAGGTTGACCTTTAGTGTGTTTGTTTTTTGGTGGGGTTGGGTTTTCTTATTTTTGGTGGTATAACATCTTTTACTGTCTTGGATTTTTATTCGTTTTTATTCTTAGAAAAGCATTAATCTGAGAATTTTCATTTCAAATTAATGCACTGAGTCTTTGCTGGATTTTTTTCCTCCTCTTATGGCTGTTTCTTTGTTTAATTGAATTAGAGATTTCACTTGAGCAGACTCCTGAAACTTCAGCTTTAAAATTGCAAGTTGATGCTCTACGCATGGTGGATGTTCATGCTGCCTAAATTAAAATGAGTAAATAAGGAGGCTGTTTCTGTAATCTCTCCTAGAAGTTGATGGAGAACAACAGAGTTTTGAGAGGACAGTTAAAAGCAGAATATTTTTTATAGTAACGATACAGAGGAAATTGTGTTCTAACTCCTGTATCCCTTCTGATAGTTAAATTAAGTCTGATCTTTGAGGAACATTGTTTTTAGATGTTAAACGTACTGGTTCCCTAAGCTTCTAAGGACAGCAAGATTTAGGAGTCTAGTACCTGAGTGTACAACATAAAGTGTCTGCTTTTGCAGTTTCAGTCATTAAAAGTTCAGTTTTGAGGAGATGAGAGGCGAGAGCAAGAAACATCAAAATGTTGTTGAAGTACCAAGTCTTTTTCTGTTGATTTTGGCAAATACCAAAAGATTTAAGTTACCTAGCATAAAGGCTGGGATGATAGTTACCCTTTCTCACAAGATGAGAATATTCCATAAATGTTACAGGTTAAAAGAAACCAACCAACCAAACAAGAAGACTTCTACAAGCTTCTTACTGTTTAGTCCGAATTTCCTCTGTTGCCATACTTATGACCTTTCTTTCTCCCTTAAATTAGAATTCAGGTTGAAGGTCTGTAAAATAAAGACCAGAAAAAGGTTTGGGAGTGGTTTTTTTTTGGTGGGATTGTTTGATTTGTGCTTAAATGCTGCTTCTTTCCTCTGAGACAGCCTGGTGTATAGGTACAGCTAGTGGCTTTCAGCTGCTGTGTTTTCGTGTTCTCTATTTCACTACTAAAATTTTAAATAGTTATTTTCTCTCTTTCTGTTTTTCTTACCCTGTTCAGTAACAGATGAACAAAATTATACCTAGTCAGTTTTGTATCTCTTGTGCAGGTTTTGGATATCAGTCTGAATTAGAAGCAAGAGTGGCTGAAGCTGCCAGAAGACAGTACAACAAGCTGAAAATGCAGACAAAAGCTGAAATCAGGCAAACTATTGATCGTTTACTTGTAGGAGACTTCATAGTAAGTTTTTGCCTCCAAATGTTTATGTAGGCTTTTTTGATTTTGCCATGTTTTAAGACTTAAAGCTCTAAAGAGTGGGCTTTTTTGTTGCTGTCTGTTTATTTGGTGTTCTTTTTAAGTAAGTGGGGAGTTTTACATGTGGTGTTGCAGTATTCCTTTTGCTGTCACTCCATTCTTGTGGCGCAGACCTGTTGCAATTAATGGCACAAAAGTATTTTTCTGTTCTGGATCCCCACATGATCTCATTTCATGCCAGTATACCTGTTACAGATTTCATGCCAGTATATCTGTTTCATGCCAGTATATCTGTTACATCAAACTTATTAAATTTGTGTGTAAGTTATTTAGATATTATTTTCTAAATGAAAAAATCGTTCAACTTTTTTTTTGCTCATCTGCAGTTCTCAAGTGATATTAGTATGTGTATCAGTATCATTAATCCCTAGCTTTGGAGTTAGCTGTATTGATGCAAGATTCCTGATCCAGTTTCATGGGAAAGGTAGATGCCTTCTTTTAGCTATGCAGGGAGATTCACTCTCCTTGGCTTACAGATAGGGAGTCCCTCTGGGAGGGCTTCATTGCATCTCTCTTAGCTTGGGATGTTTCACCTGCTGAAAATATCTCTTCATTGGAGTCTCTGGTCTGACAAGCTACCAAACCATAGTATGGCTGAATTTGTGAAGGTTAGCTCTTCAGGTGAAAAAGTGGCTAACTACATTGATTTGTCTGATACGGCTTTTCTTACATGTGAGGAGAAACTATTTCTTACAGGCTATTATATCTTCTTAACTTCCAGGAAAACAGCAAAAGCTGGACTGTGTGCCTTGATATTTCTGCCCCTCAGGTGATATTTCCTGATGATTTCAAATTTGTGGATCCAGTGTTAGTTGTTGTAGATCTGGGAAGAATATTACTTACCAATTCTCAAGGTACAATCTAGAATTATTGCAGCTTTCCTCTTCTTTCAGTCTTCTTGCAGAAGCTCTTGTCTGTGTAGAAAGTAGAGATGTCTTAAGGTTATTTCCCCTATATATGCATCAGAATTTCACATCAGAATTCTGCTACTATCAATAAATATTTAATTAAGATTGATTTTTAAAATAAAATGGGAGTGTGCAGGGTTTGGTTTTTTTTTTGTTTTGTTGGGGGTTTTGGGTTTTTTGGCAATTAACTTTTAAATTAAAGGCTCCCATGTGGCATCTTGTACTTCATGAAGGCTGTGAGCAGATGTGAAGTTAGTGCATGAGGCACTTTACCATGAGATGATTTTAAGCTTAGAATGGTGTAAGTTTTAGCTGTCAAATGCTTCTGTGGGACTGTGCTCCCAGTGGAAGCCCTGCAGTTTTGAGTCGCATGGGTCTCTGTTCTTAGCATGTGTCTATAGCTAGCTGAATGAAAGTGAAAGAAAATTGGTGTCCCATGTTTGTGTCAGAAGTTAGATCATGGCTTCTTAAATTACAGCTTTTTTCCTGTTCCAATAGGAAAACATTGCAGGAAGATGAAAAAGAAAGCACACTGGAACCTGTAAATAAAATTAGACCTAGTTAAAATATAGCTGGACTATATGGTGTGTGAGGATAAAAAAAAGTAAGATGGAAGTGATATCTATGTGATATGCAGTTCCTTTTTTAAAAAGTACAGCTGTAGGATGAGCTGCTCTGTGATGCAGTGGAAAACTGAGGTGTGAAGCCCAAAACTGAAACAGTGGAATGTTGTTACTCTGGATGTCTCCAAATGATTTGATCTTTTCTTGCATGAACTAATCTTTGCAGGGATTCAGTAGTTTCCTTTTTAGTGAATTCTGTCTTACAGCACACTAGAAAACCCCCCACAAATCATTTGTGCAAGGCTGGTTTGTATTTCCCTGTGTAATTGAGGCATTGGGCTGTTCAGAGTAGCTTGAGGTTAAAAAAGAAAAGAAAAAAGAAGGTAAAAAAGGATAGTTTTGGAAGGTGTTCCTGCTTTGTAGAGCATGATAATAACATGAAAGTTAATATTAGGGAATAAACAAAACCTTCTGATCATATATTTATTGTAGTTAAATAGCTCTTACCTTTCAGTTGGGTTTCAGGATCAAAAGAATTGCATAGGCAGAATAAGGGATTTTATTTTTTTTAACAGCTTGGATTAAAAGTAAGTCTTATAGTAAGTGGGTTAAAAATGAGGCAATAGTGTCTAATAGATTTCATAACATATTGTGACTGACATCTGCATGCATGTCAATGAAGTGTAGTAGATTTTATGTTGAGAAAATAAAAGGGACAATGGAAGGAGAGAAGGACAGTAGTGGATATGCTTTGTGTTTAAAAAAAAAAACAGCCTCAGCCAGGATGATCAGGTAATGATAGGAATTAGCAAGGAGGGAGGAGAATACTTTTGTTTGTTTGTTTGTTTGTTTACTATTTCTTTTCTAATCCACAGAAGAATCTAAAAGGAGTACAGATACTTTTTCTTCAGAAGTCAACGAACTGAGTGATGAGGAATATAAAACACCTCTTGCAACTCCTCCCAATACTCCACCACCAGAATCTAACACTAATAGTGGCATGAAAATGTCTGAGTTTACTGAACTAGAAATAAGTGAAGAGCATCTACAAGCACACTTAATGAGTAAAAGAATGTATGAGAGATACACACTTTCATTTATGGATCTTCAGATCATGGTGGGCCGAGTGAAAGACAACTGGAAACATGTTCAAGATAGTGATGTGGGTCCAACTCATGTGGTAGAAAAATTCAATGTTCACCTGCAGTTGGAGCGCAGGTTGATTTACACGTCTGACCCAAAATACCCAGGAGCTGTCTTGTCTGGAAGTCTGCCTGACTTGAAAATCCACATCAATGAAGACAAAATCCTGGCTCTGAAGAACTGTTGTATGCAGCTGAGTACATCTGAAACTAAGTCTTCTGATGCCCTGCATTTAGGGAAAGATAAGATTTTTGCAGAGGTAGACCAGCTTGGCAGTTTACATGATTCTGTGATGAACCTAACCCAGAGTGTTGTGATGCTAGAGCAACACACCAGGGAAGTTCTTGTTGAGTCTCAGCTGCTTTTGGCTGAATTCAAAGTAAATTGTATGCAGTTGGGTGTTGAAAGTAATGGAAGATACATCTCTGTACTCAAGGTTTTTGGCACCAATGCCCGTTTTGTGAAAAGGCCATATGATGCAGAGGTGTCCCTGACTGTTCATGGCCTGTTACTAGTTGATACTATGCAAACATATGGAACAGATTTTGATCTTTTGATGGCTTCTCATAAGAATCTGAGTTTTGATGTGCCAACAGGAAGTCTTCGAGACAGCAGGGCTCAGTCTCCAGTTTATGGACCACATGATTCACGTCCCATTGATGCAGCTAGTTTGGCAAAGAGATGCACTACAGCTTCAAGTACTTCATCTGGTAACAATGGAAAAGATCAAGAGTCCCTGATAAAATTAGAGTATCAGTTTGTGAGTGCTGAATGTCCATCAATGAATTTGGATTCCAGTCTGCAGGTGATCTCTGTACAGGTGAACAACCTGGATATCATCCTTAACCCAGAGACTATTGTTGAACTGATTTGCTTTCTCCAGAAATCTTTCCCGAAGGAGAAAGAAGATTCCAGCCCTCAGCCTTTAATAACTGACTTGGAAAAAGATTGGAGGGAACAGGAAACCTTCCAGTCAACTTACGTACAGAATACGGAGGTAGCAGTTGATATTCACTGGTTAAATATACTCCTCCTCAGGACAGTTGGCATGACAAATGGAGAAAAATATGGCAGAAAAATTGCAACAGCCAGTATTGGTGGCACCAAAGTCAATGTCTCCATGTGTAGTAAATTTGATGTAAATGGCTCTCTGGGATGCCTTCAGCTGATGGATCTAACACAAGATAGTGTTAAGAACCAGTATGTTGTCAGCATAGGGAATACAGTGAGGTATGAAAATCTCATTGGTGATGTAGATTACTTGGAATCTTTATTTTTCAGGCTTGATGATGGGAATAGCCTTCCAGATGCATTAAGTTTTACTTTCACAGAAAAGTCAAAAGAGGAATGTTCTCTGAACCTCAAAATGGCCTCTTTACACTACAACCACTCAGCTAAGTTTCTGAAAGAACTAACTTTGTCAATGGATGAATTGGAAGAGAATTTCCGCAGCATGCTGAAAAGTGCAGCTTCAAAAGTTACCACAGTCTTGGCAACTAAAACTGCTGAATACAGTGAAATGGTTTCTTTGTTTGACACAACACCACGATCAAGAGATGTTGCCAATTTAGAAGATAATGAAGGCTATGCCTTTGGATTACAGCCACTCAAAATTGATACTATTAAACTTATATTAAATGTAAACATTGAGTCACCCATAGTTTCCATACCTCGAAAGCCTGGTAGCTCTGAACTGCTTGTAGGTCATCTAGGACAAATATCCATTCAGAATTTTGTACCAGGAGAAGACGAATCTACAAGTGATAGACTGCAGGTTGAAATTAAAGACATTAAAATGTATTCTTTAAATAGCAGCCAGTTTACAAGCAAGAAGGATCCTGCAATTGAAATATCTCATAGGCTGCATTCTTCTTCAGGTCCTGCTAGTATTAGTAGCCAGGAGGAAACCCATTTTACTCGTCATGACTTCTTTGAATCATTACATAAAGGCCATGGTATGTTAATCAGAGAACTCTTAATTATTTTATTATGAGTGGTGGATGGTACTAAAAAGATTGACCATAGGTCTGTTGAGTATTCTGTCTCACCCATCCTCCTGGAATACACTGCTCAATTTTAATTACAAAGGACGCGTTATTTTATTTATATCCATTATTAGTCTTCTAAACAAAAAATAGCTTCTTTCATGCAGAAGTTTAACATAACATAGTTACATATACTTACTGTAGCATTTCTAAGAGATTCTGAGCAATTTAAATAGGTACTGTGTTACCTCTGTTGTATAGTCTTTACAGGATAGTCAATTCACTTACTATGGTACTGTTCTGATTCGACTTTCTCTTAACAGCTTTCCACATTCTGAATAACACCACTATCCAGTTTAAATTGGAAAAGATACCACTAGAAAAAGACTTAACTTTTCCTCTGAGTAATGAAGACTTCGGAATATCAAGCATTATGAAGATTGAAGGGAAATTTGTTAACCCTCTTCAGGTATAGTAATGTAGTATTTCCATTATCAATATAAAAGTATTTCCCTGCATAGAAGATAAGTAGTTTTAGGCAAATATCTTCAGGTTAAATATGTTGGCAGCTGAGAAATCAGGTCTGTATACATGTGGATAGAAGAGACAGTCTTAAGTCATAACATCAATGACCAAAATTTAATCTTGTTTTGGAGCATTTTAGACATCTTTATAAGTTAGTCTACCTTTTACTTACCATGAATACCTATCACAGAAGGAAAATAAATGTGTCACTGTCCAAATATTTTTATTTGCAGTTCTAGTAGAACCTAAGAATTAAAAAGCCATTATCTCTAAAAAATCTCTTCAGGAATAGAGATTTTAAGTAGACAAAACTGAAACTTCTAAAGCTAAGGAGACAATGGCTAAGTAGAATCCACGTATTCCTCCATAATCTCAGCATGGTAAATTAAGGCTAGTTTGTATGATGAGTTATTTTTAATAAACGCTTCCCCTGGAAATACAAGGTATCATATTCTAGGATCCTATATTGTATGTTTCCAGACTGTCATCTTGCAGAGTTAATACAGAACTGCTTTGATTCAGTTTTGCATTGTACCTTGTTCTGGATTGTTTTTTATTTGTGGACAAATTTAAGGTTTCTCTGGTTTGAAATTCCACAGCCTTTTCATTTGTGAGTTTTAAAATAATAGGTACAGATTTTATTAATACAGAGAGCTCTAATGTGAGGATTTTTTTTTTTTTCTATATTGTAGGTCGTATTAGCAAAACATGTCTATGAACAAGTCCTTCAGACTCTGGATAATTTAATTTACAGTGAAGACTTGAACAGATTCCCAACCACTTCTGTGTCTTCAACTTGTCAAAGTTCTCCTTCAACATCACTTCCCAGTACAGGCACAGAATTCTCAAGTGAACGGAAAGAAAATGGTTTATTCAGCCATTCTAGTTTTAATTCTCTTCCAAACAAGTCGGTAGCTATCAGGGAAACAAAATCTTTTACTCACATTCAGGCAAACTTTCATATCTCAGAGCTTCAGGTGCAGTTAAGTGGTGACCTTACACTTGGTGCACAAGGCCTTGTCAGTCTTAAGTTTCAGGATTTTGATGTTGAGTTTGCTAAAGATCATCCTCAGACTTTGTCTATTCAGATTGCCCTGCGTTCTTTACTGATGGAAGATCTTCTGGAGAAGAACCCAGACTCTTTGTACAAGAATCTCATGGTGTCCCGTGGAGCACCCAAGCCCTCCAGTTTAGCACATAAGGAATATCTTTCCCAGTCTTGTCCCTCAGTATCCAATGTAGAGTATCCAGATATGCCCCGTTCCCTACCTTCCCATATGGAAGAAGCGCCTAATGTCTTTCAGCTGTACCAAAGACCAGTTTGGTCCTCCCGTAAGAAGCAAAAAGAAGATGCGGATTCTGAGTATCCTCTGACTCCACCTCCTTCTCCAACAGCAGACAGTTCCAAGTTGCCTTGTGGAAAAAGTAACTTTGATGATTCTTTGGTTCATATCAATATATTTCTAGTGGATAGGAAACATCCTGAATTTTCTTCTCACTATAACAGACTTAACCGTAGCGTAGACGTTGATTTTAATTGTCTAGACGTCTTAATAACTTTGCAAACTTGGGTAGTAATACTGGATTTCTTTGGTATTGGATCCACTGCTGATAACCATGCTATGAAGCTGCAACCTGAAGATACTCAGCAGGCAGTCAAATCAGAAATAAATACCTTGTCAGCTGCTCAAGCCCAAGAGCCTGTAAACACAAAGCTGGATCTGAAGGTATACTTGAGATACAAAATAGTAATTGGATTGTCTGTCATAAAATATCTGGTTTATAGGAACTTAAGGTGACATTTAACTCAAGTGTTTTATAGTCTCGTGGAGAAATGTGCATAAATTCAGAAACAGTAGATTTAAAGTTCAGAAACAGTAGATTTAAAGTGTGTGTAGATGTAGTTTAAAAACAAATGTGCGAAAGTTACAGAAAAGCAAAACCTTTGCAGACTGCCTCCCTTGATCTGTGACCCTCAGACCTGTGTATAGCACTTGAAGGGATGCTGAAGTAAGAGTTCTCCATGTTCATCAGTGGAGCTGTTATGGGTAGAGTTTGACACCCCCCATCCTCATCCTGTCTGCTTTGTGCCTGAGAGTCTGAGGAGTCTAAGTCTGTGACTCTTCTTTCTCAGGATCAGGCAGGACATAGACTAATTGTGATCTCTTAAATGAGATGGCTGCTTCAATGTTATAGACGTGACATACTGAAATTGGCACTGTGATGTTTTAGGTACTACAGAGTTTATTTAAAAGCTGTATGTTTTAGGAAGTATATAAACATATATGTCTATATACATATGCATAAATGTGTATATATACATTTAGTTATGTGTCTTTGCCAAGAGGTCCTACAGTCTAACATAAAAATGACAAGTCTTGAAAGAGAAAAGGATGAAGCTAAGTGCTAGGATTTGTTGATGACAATTCTGACTTGCTTGGGAGACCTGTTAATGTGCAAGCAAGGAAGTATGAAGGTTCCCTTCCTCCAGTGTCTCCCCGTCAGCTAATTCTTGTTTGCCATTTATGTCTTGAAATGCAATTGTCTTGGAAAACAAAAAAGCTAAAATGATTTTCCAGCTCTGAAGTCACGTTGTTTAATACCAACCTGTTCCTTTCTGTTTGTGCAGATCCATTCTTTATCCTTAGTACTGAATAAGACAACTAGTGAGCTTGCTAAAGCCAGTGTGTCAAAACTTGCAGCTCACTTGGAAGTGATTGGTGAGTAGGTTGGAGGGCTAAGGTTTTATGCAGCTTGAAGTAGGAGGAGGTGTGCACTGGTTTTGTGGTTTGAAATGGGGGCTTTTTTAGAGCTGATTGGGGTTTTTATGTGTGTTTGTTTCTGGGAAAGAGGCACATTCTCTTCCTGCTGCAGCTGCTTCTGCTATTTCAGGCTTTTATTTTAAGTCCTTGCCTCCCTCACAGTTGTCAAATCCTTGATCATTTTAGTTGAGGTTGGCCAGGATTTTAGTACTTCACTATCACAGAGCAGAACAGTATATTACTGTTGTAGAGGAAAAAAGAGTTCTGTTTAAGTTTTCACGAATCAAAGTGGTGTAATCACATTTTATATGTAAACCATAGAGCTATATTTGGGTTAATATAATCTTTGTAGCAAAAAGACATGATTTTCTTTGAACATGAGATTTAATATTTCATTAATGTGATTTAATTACTTGTAACATGTTTATGCCACTAACAGAAACTTTAGAGTTTTAGTACCTTATCTGTGCTTGAAGATACTATTTGCCTGCCTTTTGTTTTGCAGAGGGAGATTTAGCCCTGCAAGGAAGTATTGGCAGTCTGTCCTTAAGTGACCTTACAGCTCATGGAGAATTTTACAGAGAACGTTTCACTACAAGTGGTGAAGAAGCACTCATTTTCCAAGTCTTTAAGTATGAATTTAAACTTCTTGTTACTCAGTATTAGCACCATTAATTCCCTGCTCCCCAAGAAAATCAAACGAAAACCCCACTAAAAACCAAACCTACAGCTGTCAGGTCTGCATGATTCTGCTTCGGATGCTTGTGACTAAAATGAGACTTTGAACATTTTCAGTCAGAAACTTAAGACTTTTTAGCTTTTCTTTATCCTGCAATGTACATGGCTTATCACGAAAAATAGTTTTTTATTTTGTCTAAAGCTGCTCTTGAAAGATTTTAGCTGATAGCTTGTTCCTAGATAAAATACTAAGTTGTTTTTTTAAGTTGGAAAAGGTTTTCAACTGATGAAACAGATTTTCCATTGCTCCTTAATTTGGAATTAAGGGTTTGCTGTCGTAGCGCACTCTTGCAGTTCGTGTACTTTATGTAAAGCAATAGTTCTTACCCTGTGACATTTCATGCTTTTCCACCCCCTCCTTCACCTGCTGGAATTAATCAGATTAAAAATTATCCAACTAATGTTAACGAATTTACTTCAAATGTAACAGCACACAGATCCCGAGTGGAATCTACGTAGTATCATGCACTACTTACCTTACGCCATTCTTTAGATGTGTGAAATCACCAAAGATATATTTGTTAGCTGTAGAGATTAGAGGTACATTCCAAATGTAGAATTTTTGTGTTTGCTTAATTAAAACTCAATAGCACTTAAATGTATGTAATTTGGAAATAATCAATATAAACCCAGGTTTTCACACTTTCAATTGGAATAGTTTTAATTCTGCACTGTGCACATCAGTTATGTTATCTGTATTACTACCTTTAATACAAAACAATAGCACTATTTGTAAAACCTGGCTAGGACAACTAGAGTTTGCTTTCAACCTTTATCAGATATGGGAAGCCAGATCCATTGCTGCAACGGGGGTGTGATATTCGTGTCACACTGCGGATGGCGTCTGTTCAGTATGTGCACACTCAGCGTTTCCAGGCAGAAGTGGTGTCATTCATCCAACATTTTACTCAGCTTCAGGATGTCTTGGGGCGTCAAAGAGCAGCAATTGAAGGACAAACAGTATGTCTGTTTTTTTTCTGTTCTTTCCTAGCCTGTTTTTCACAGTTGAATTGCAGTATAAGATTTATCTTAATGCATCAACTCAGGTGAGTTGAAATGATGATGTTTTAGAGTTCTGATGTTGGTCGAGATTGCTAATACCCATCTTGTAGTTAAAAGATCTTATTTAGGAGTGTCCTATTGCTATTTGAAAGCATAGAATACCAATTTGCACATTACTGAAAACTTTGGCACTTGGGTCCTGCAGCATGCACCCATACGGGTATATTCCTTTTTGTGATGCTGGACAAAAAGGGCTTAAGATTTTATTTTGCCTTTTTCTCCACTGTTCACCACGTAGTTACAATACCTAAGGAGAACCGAATGAGAAGTCTTTCTTTTCTACTCAGGTGTGTATGTCTTTGATTAAGGGTGATGGCTGGTAGACGGTGAAAAACAGATGCCAAACTTCTGCATGATAGAGTAGATAAATAATCATGACAGTCATAGCCTGTTTTGTACAAAACCTAATGTGGCAGTGATTAATATAGTTAACAGTCTTGTTCAGAAAGTCACTTCTCATAGTTGGAAGAAAGAGTTAATACTTGCCTATATTAGAATGCTTCATTGTGCATCAGGAAGTTTGATTCTGAAACACTTCTCTAAATTATGCTTTTTCCTCCTTTTATGAATATTTTGTCTTAAGTAGTCTTTAAGTAGTGAGCTAAGTAGCATCTGTTCTGCCTCTTTGTGGTGATATTATGCTTCACTCCATATTGCTGCACATACTACACATGAACTCTGTGCTAATTACTGTGAAATAATTACCCACTTCCTGTACTTTAATATTTATTTTTTGTACTGAATTTTTGCTCTTCCCAGGTAAGAGATAAAGCACAGCGAGCTTCACGAGTTCTTCTTGATATTGAGGCTGGTGCTCCTGTTCTGCTTATACCTGAGAGCTCAAAGTCTAATAGTCTTATTGTAGCTAATCTTGGAAAACTGAAAGTGAAGAACAGATTTCTGTTTGCTGGCATGCCAGGCACTTTTTCATTAAAGAACAAGGTAAGAACATTACTTCTTAATTTAGCAGCTTGGGTTTCTTTTTCTAGTTTTTGTGCATTTCATTCCTATATCAAAATGGGAACTGATTCTTATGCTTTACTGTATATATACACTTTGTGCTACTAGTAGTGAACAGTCCATGCCAGTGTTCAGGATAAGCTGCTGGACCCAGCCTACTACTGATTGTACCCAGCTGCTGTCTTCTGCACCTTGGCTGGCTCACTGAAACCATTCAGGCAGGGGAGATGGTTCTGTGGAACTCAGTAGAACTGGCCTCATAAGGAGACAGGACCCAGCTGGGTGCATGCCTAAAGGTGGGAGCATAATGGGCTTTCAGCTAACCCTATTTGGAAGCTGCTTCAACTCTTCACCAGTGATATTTCAGCATTGGGAATGGCAGAAAAGAAGAGATCTGTATGGGGTGAGACTTCCTGGAACACACTGGGGAACAGAAGTTTGAATTGTAATTTTTTTTTTTCTACTTTTAATGAAACTGAGCTTGTGTAGTTGCTTTGACTATGTGAAATGTAATGAAAGGTTTCCAGTGAATGCCTGAAGGTAAGGCTAGGTGCAAGACAGGGAATAGTTGGTGTTGCTGGTGAGGGATGCAGCCATGAAGTTTGGGGTAAGGAAGGTCCATGTTGCTGGCTTTCTACATCTAACCTATGCAACAAAATGGGTAGTTGTTCTGGGAACCCCATAATCCCATTTTAAAGGGGGACAGAAACTAGGTAGACTAAACTGCTTCAGCAGGTTTGTGGTGTCTGTTACCTCCATCTGGTTTAAATATACCGGTCTTTGCTGTAAGGAGATCCTGGACTTAATAGTGAGTGGTCTTCTGTACTCTAGTGTGCCAGTGTGATTAAAGCTTTGTGGTAGATTCTTGAGTTAGAAGAAAGGATGTATGCATAGTAATTCTATTTCAACTCAAAAATAACTGTGTTATGTAGCATTGTGGAAATTTCAGAGTTTGAAATGGGTGGCATTTGAGGTGGTTTTGGTGGGGTTTTTTTTCATTTTTTTCACTGTCCTGTGTTTATTTTTGAGGATTGGCTTTTACAAGGCAATGCATACAAGGATGCGGTCTTATTTGAGGTATTTTATGTCTTTAGAGTAGCTTTCAGGTGATCCTCATTCATTAAAAAAGGCAATATTCTTGTGGAATTTAGCATTTCAAAAGTTCCTTTATACATTAAAAATGATGTTTCTGTTCTAAAAACTGCTGAATTCTGTAAGAATAAGATTTGAATTTGCTGTGGTGTGCTCTTTATGCATGTCTGAGGAGCTTTTAATTTGTATTTATTACATAAATTGATGTATTTATAGACGATCTGCTGATTTTTCTTTGCATGTACTTCTCAGTCTTGTCTTTACAGTGTAAACTTAAATGTTAATGTCTTCAAATTCTTAATCTTAAAATCCTTGATAGTGGCTACAGTGAATTTTTCCAACGAATAATACTTAAAAACCACATAAGACAAGTAAGTTTAATAATTAAAAACCCAAAGGAAAGTTTATGGGTAAGGATTGCACAGTGCCATCAGAAGCTGGATACAGAAAGAAGGTGGGAAGTGGCAGTAACAATACTAGTGTCATGGGTGAAGGGGGCAATCCCAGAGTAAAGAGGCAAGTGGAACACTGAAGCCAAGTGACTGTTACCTGCTGGAGCATGTGAAGCTGAGTAAAATTGAAACATAAAGTTAGTAAATTTAAATCAGGACAGACTAAATGAACCCTGAAACCGGCTCCGGAGTATAAACATAGTGTATAAACTTGTTCTGCAGATATTTTTTTGGTAAAATAAATTCCTAATGTTGATGGGACTATTTTACTAGTGAGCTATATACTCTTTTCTTTTTTTTTTGTGGGCATTTTAACAATAAGGGTAGAGATTTGTTCAATCTTAAACTTAGCTACTGCAGAGAAAATTTGGGACACATTTTGGTATGATGCCTGAAATATTTAAAGCACATAAAATAACTTCATGTATAGAAGTATTTGTTCCCTTATTCTAATAAAATACTACGTTGCTGGCATGATCTTGCAGAAATGTCTTGTTTTCATCTTCTGAAGATATTCTGAAAACCAGCTTTAAATATTTAACAGTCTTTATGCTACAGAAATGCTTGACATCTTGACAGCCGTACCCTTCTATTTCATGTTCATTTCATTTATATATTTGGAGTTTCTTTAATTTGTTCAAACCCCACTAGTAATCTATTACTAATTACAAAACTACTTTTCTTAGCAGGATTCAGCTCAATTTTCATCTCCTTTGGGAACTCCCAAACATAGCATGAAGAAAACAAGTGCTCATGAATCAAAAGTAGCAATGGAAGGATTGTTCATGAAAAAATCATCAGGAACAAACATGTCTAAGCTGAAGAATGAACCTGTGCTGAATACACTGAGTAAGCAACAAGGGCAGCAAACAAAGCTCCCTGTTGTACCGAACCCTGACAGCCCAGGTGCGTGACAAACACTAGAAACCCTACATAGCTGCTCTTTTTCCTTGTAAAATAATGCAGTGCAGTTTTGCTTGTATCTTATGTGGCACTGACAAAGTAAGGTTCGAGGTCTAAAAGTTGTAGGTTTAGAAAGAAATGACTTGTTAGTTTCAAGGTTGATTTTTGCAGCTTAATGGATTAGGGAATTGTAGTTCAGTTTCTGGAAGACCAGTTCTGCAATTTGTTTTGACATGCATATTGCAGACATTTAAGGAGTACAGTTGGACTTTTAATTAAGAATTTACATTTACCTGTGAGTGAGCTTGGTATCTGGAAGTTACAGATACTGATGAGTGTGAATAAAAAAAGATTAAAGAAATGGAATAACTTCCAGGAGAAACTGTATTTGTTTTGTACAGATATTATTTTTTTTCTCTTTCTTAATGTGTTATCTCCTGTGCACTTGCAGAGGATCACATCTGCCTCTTAGACTGCATTGTGGTTGATCTGCAGGACATGGACATATTTGCTGCAGAAAGATATCACAGAGAGTGTTCAAAGGCTGTGGAAGGTACTAATGCAGACTTGAGCTTTCCATCCTACTTCGTGAGGCAAACAGGAGGAAGCTTATTGACAGAACCTTTCAGATTGAAGTTAGAAGTAGAAAGAAACTTAGACAAGTGAGTTTAAACATGATCACTTTATGTTGTCAGCCTAAACCCAGTGTTTTAGTTGCCTGTTACTGTATTTAAATGTGTCACCTGGTTTATAGCATCTTAAAATGTTTTTTTCCTTTATTGCAGAGAGTTAAGTCATGCAGTTGCAGACATATCAATACATGGCAACCTGTCATCAGTCCATTGCACTCTGGATTTGAACAAGTATAAACTGATAAGGGGACTGCTGGAGAACAACCTTGGGGAGCCTATAGAAGAGTTCATGCGGCCTTATGACTTGCAGGATCCAAGAATTCATGTAAGAGGAGCTCTGTGCAGTAGAAATTCTGTCTTGCAATATCAGGGGCATTTGTTTGGTCTTCATGGCAGGTTTCTCACCTAAAACTTAAAAAAGGCACCCTAAATTTTAGAAACCACTTACCTGTTTTAATAATAGAAGGTACCAGAAACAGTTTGAAAGAATTGTTGGCTTTTGGGGTTTTTTTTAGGGAATAATGATGATGATGTTTTAAGAACAAAGAAACTCTAAAACAGTAGTGTGAAAATTGATTAAATTCAAGTTGAAGGCCACACTGTTGTGAAACGTAACTTTGACCCAGCAACGGTTAATGAAGCTCTTTGAAGGAGAAAGATACAGCAGCTCTTTGTCCAAAATAACAACATTTAATTGAGAAATGAAAGTTAAACAGATGGTTTTAAAAGGAGTGTGGGTGTTTTCCACTTTCAGACAGTTCTAAGTGGAGAAGTGTATACTTCTATGTCATTCCTTATCGACATGGTTAATGTGAGCTTGGAACTCATGGATCCAAAAGGGAAAGATGGATGCAGCTCTTTAGCCAGGTATGAATTTTGTTGTTACTGAATACCTAATCCTGAATCTGAGAGATTGTAGGACAGGAGTTAACATAATACATGAAATTATGGTTTAATAATGCAATGAAACTGAATTTTTTTAATCAGAGTCCAGATTGAGAGTTTCAGATGACCTGAAGGGTGGAAGTGAATGGCACTGCTCAGAAGATACTGTGCCTTTTAAGTTGTCATTCAAATCAGAGTTTAGTTATCAGTTGACTTACTCAAGACAAATGGAATTATATTTAAGAAAATGTTGAGAGTTAATCTTAAAAAAACCCCAGACTTCTGCTGTGTTGTTTTGTTGGGTTTTTTTAATCCAGAAAGTTCTGTATCAGTGGGAAATATTGTTACTTACAGTATAGATCTGCTTTCTGTCTCTGACATGAGGTGTGATTGTAGTTGGTTTAGAAAATACGTGAAGGAAAGATATTGGCAGTATACTATGCACATTTAAAACAAGGGACTTCTAGAAATAAATGAGCTTTAGAAATAACTAAGTTGTTTTGCTTTTTACTCTCCTAGGTTTGATTTCAAGAAATCCAAGTTGCTTTTTGAAAGTTCTTCAAATGGAACAAAGTCTGTAAATTTGGTTTCTCATTCCATGATGGCATTTGACACACGTTACGCTGGACAGAAGTCTGCTACAGGCACACCAAATGTATTCAACTGCATCTTTCAGTCATCAAAGAACACCAGTAGTCCAGGAGCAATCCAGATCGAATTGCACTTCAGGTTGGTAATCCTGGGATTTATGTGTTTGTTTTTAAATAATGACATACTTGATCAGGTTTGTCCTGTTCTTAATATAGCAGTTATTAATGTAGACAAACCTGCTGGCAATGTATTCAAATCTGAAGACTCTTTTGGGGTGGTCAGTGGTGCTTGATAGACTGAAATCTGCAGTTATTCATTATCTAAAGATTGTTGGATTTTTTTAACCCCCCCTCTTCCCCCTCCCCCATTACAGTAAGCTTTAGGTTTGAATGTGTAGAGAATCAGATGAAGTTCTAGCCTACTAGAATCAGCAGTGATTGAAGTCTGCCCTATCACTTATATGCTTCCATATTAAAAAGAATATAATATGTTTTTATATGTTTCACAAAAGCTTTTTCCCAGTAGATGCCACAGTTGCCTTTCTGAGAGAATTGGTTAAGTACAGAAATGGCACCCCTTTCACAAGACTGTTTCTACATTCACTTCTGTATTCTGTCCTACACTGTTTGGTTTTCCTTATCCAGATCCCATAGAATGCTTACAGGCACAACAGTGGATATCTGTTTTGTTCTAATTTGTTATTGAAACCAGGAATACAAAGTATGTCAGTATTTAACTGTAGCAACATGGTGTTCTGTTGAAGGATGTTAACAAGTAAAGGAAGAGGGGGAAGTGATACGGCTAGACATTGCTTTTGCCTTTTATCACTCTCACTGACCAAATGCAGTATTCTAACTCTTTTATAATACCTTCTGAAGCAGTTGCAGGAGTAGCATAAGAAAAAATCTGTGAACTATTTTAGTCCAATAGAAAATCTTGGAAGACATTTGTTCATAAAAAAACAACCAAACTTCAGGCAATTGAGAGAAATTTGTAAAGATTTAGAGAACGCCTGATGGTTTTGAGTACTTCATAAATGTGTGTTCAGAAAGACACCCAAGATTTTTATTTGAATGGAATTAAAATGCAATAGGATTTTTTTAAAAAAGCAAACAAAAAAAACAAACAAAAAACTGGAATGGTTTTGGTGTAACTGGTGATCCAGTAACTGCCTAGATTGGAGGTTAGCTTGCCTAGTACAGCCTAATCTGGTTACAGGTGATAGTTTCAGAGATTTTCTTCCTAACTGCTATGTTTTTAAATTTTAGCCACATAAGCATGTGTTAGGTTTTTACTGGTGAGAGCATCTTTGGCACTAGATGTAAGCTTTTGCAGAGCTCAGTGACAGTGTTATACTGGCTTGTGCCCTTTGAAAATCTCCTGGAGAGCCAGGGAGGGTTAAAGGCTTTTACTGTTGGAAGCAGTGCAGGCAGGCTGCTTCTCACAAAGGAACCACAGTCTTTAGAGATTTTACAGTTCAGAGTGTGGTGGATATAAAATTGTTTCATGGTATTTAAGCACGTAGGTTTTTTCCCAGTTAGCATGACCAAATATAATTGGTATTCTATATACAGAATGAAACCAAACTCTTTTATCCCCCCAGCCAGATACTCAAAATGGGATGCTAAAAGTTCAGTAAGGCTGGCTAACATTTTTTCTGGTTGACAAAGCAGCTTCCTGTGATACAGAATGTTGTCAGGGTGTGAGAGGAAACACATTGTACATCTAATGCTTTAGAGGGGCATGGAGCCAGGTCTGAATTTCACAGGCAGTACGTTAGGTTTGATACTGAACAGATGTAAAACAATACTAAAAAGACCAGTTTTAAAATTGGAGGATTTGCAAAGTAACACTGATAATGTCAGTGTATTAAAGGAACTTTAATACATTGTAAGTTAATTTCTTGTTGCATAGCTTTTCAGTTTATCTTTTATATCATTAGAGCTTTGAATTCATGCAGTTAAGATCTATTGTTTCTGTGGGTGCAGAGACTTGATGTATTTCAATCTGTTTAAATACATATATGGTTTCCATAAGCCAGACACTCTGTAAATTAAATATATCACTACAAAGTTCCATGTAGTTCTTACTTGCTAGAGACTGATAGTTTTCTCCACCATTTTAAATATATGCAAGTTCATATGTATCCTTCTCTCTTCCTAAAAGGTCTACAAAGGATTCCTCCAGTTTCACAGTTGTTCTGAACAATCTTCGTGTATTTCTGATCTTTGACTGGTTGTTACTTGTTCATGATTTCTTATATACCCCTGGAGATACCAAAAAGCGGGAAACTCGCCATTCTTCCCGGCAGCGAACTTACAGCAGTGAAACAGCTGTAGTTCCCAAAGCAGTGAAAAGTGGAGTAGTTACAAAGCGTTCATCACTGCATGTGTCTGCAGAAAAACAATTGGAAGTAAAGGTTAATGTGACAGGTAAATGTATTCTTTTCTAGTGCCTTTCTGAGGAGCTTTTCTGATAAGAGGCCATGTGCTAATAGAAAAACAGGTCAGTTAAAGGACCTGCTGCAAATGCTTAAAATACCTTAGTGGTATTTCCAATTGCCCTGTTGATTATTTGTCATTTTGTTTTGTTAAGGGACTGAATTTGTGGTTGTTGAAGACATGTGTTGTTTCGATACCAATGCCATTATTTTGAAGGGGACAACTGTTCTCACTTATAAACCCAAGTTGCTGGATCGTCCTTTCTCTGGTAGTTTGTTTGGCATTGAGGTAAGAAGAAATCAATTAGGGTTTGGAAAACACCTAAAATTAGAGGAGATTGTGAAGCTACTTTAAATATATATGATGGCTTTTGAAGTTTGTTATTAGCAAGTTTGTGAGCAGGAATTCTGAGTACACAAAGTGACCTTGCATCCTCTTCAGCAGAGCAGGACCAGAGTTGGAGTGCTGCAGCCAGTGTTGGGGAGACAGAGCTGAAGAAGCTCTAAATAACTGAAGAGAGAGCAATAAGAGCATTCAGGATTGAGGGTTATGTAGTGTGTATAGGGAGAGTTTAAAAGAACTTGCTTGGAAGAAGAGGCTGGGCAGAGATAGAGTGGGGTTAAGTTTAGCATTAAAGGGAATATTTTGTTGCTTATCAGAATCTCTTTTCCAGAATTTACAGCACAGCTGGGCACTGGAAGAAATTGTCTGGAGAAGTTTTGGAATCTGCTGTCTTAAAGTTTGCAAATGAATTCTCTGTAGAAAGCAGTTTGTTCATAGCTATAGCCTTGTTTCATGATAGTCTTTGATTCTGAGTTTCTTGCTAGGCCTTTTCTCTCACTTCCTAATTTTTTTAAACCCATTTGTAATTTGTAGGTGTTTTCATGCCGGTTAGGAAGTGAGCAAGAGACTGCACTGTCAATCATTGATCCAGTACAAATTCAGCTGGAGCTTGTTGGGAATGCTTCCTACCCGAGTGGTTCAGGTCTGTTGGATGCTTTCAATAGTGAGGATTTTCCTCCTGTTCTAGAGGTGAGATTAAATACCTGAATAAAACCGCATGCAATAGAGGATACCAGACCATGATCTTGCACAGACTACTTTCAAATGCATAAGAAAAGAGTTAAGACAGATTTTTGCTCAAGTGGAAAAGGCAAAGAAGCAAACATGCAGAAAGTGCACTTAGTGGTAAGGAGCAAGGGATTTCTGGGATATATTATGGAGATTAGTAGTGGGGAAAAAAGTAGGCTGACAAGTTAGTTACTAATACCCAAAAGAAAAAGTTCTGTGGTCTGTATCTCAGTGCTTATTAGAGGGGAATCTCTTTTTACCATTATACCAAAGAATTTTTTTATTTTTTTTTTGCTCCACTGACACATGCTTTTAGTTGTTAGTAAATAATAATAAGCTTGGTAATTTTATTACTGGAGGTTTAAAACCGTGTGGTCATCAGATTCTAATACTAAATTTTATCTTCCTTTGTGAAAAACTTCGTTGATATTTGAAGCTCACAAGAAAAACATGTAGAAAAGGGTAACTCTGAATCTTATGTTTTGATTTTTCCATTTAGATTCACTTGCAAGCACTGGATATCAGACTGTCCTACAATGATGTTCAACTATTCCTGGCAATTGCAAAGTCAATTCCTCGACAGACTAGTGCAGCTATGCCTGACACAACTATATCAACTGCTGAAAATACTGCTAACCCTTCCAGTTCAGCACTGGTGAATGAAACTTCCTCCTTGACACATGAAAACAGAGATACATCCAAACGTGTGTTGGATCCTGTTCTTGGTATGTTTATAACTGCTGGAGCAAAGTTATTTTTTATATCTGAAGGAGGTTTCAGCTGTGTGAAGCTAGACTGTATACTTAACACAAAAGATGTTGATATCTTAATGTGTAAAGGCCTTCATTAATTTGAATTATCAACGATAACATTGTGATGATACTATTTTAAAAAGTAGGGGGGGTTGTTGTTTTTTTTTCTTCTGGTAGCATGACACTGGGCTCTTTTACAGTTTATTTAGCACTGCTTGTCAGTGTAAGTCGTCATGGAGTACTTCATATGTAGCAATGATTTAAAGCGGAAGAGGGGCTACCTCTTCAAATACAATAAACTGATAGTGAAGTGGAAAGCATCACAATTACTAGTTAACCTCTGTAGCAGTCTGACATGCTTTTTGCAAACAAATTTACAAATATTGTGTGTGGTCAGAACCACTGTCTGACAATAGTGAGAATGCACTAGTGAAAAGGCTTCTTTGTTACTGCACTGGAGAGTCGTGTAGGGAGTTCCAGGTAATAGTGTTCGGAATGAAGGGTTGGTTTACAAAATTGTAGTCCCAACTTAAATTCATGGAGTACATTGGCTTCCTGTAGGAGAATAAAAATAGCTCATGTGCTCCAGAATATCAGCATACCAGGTCGGGGGGTTCTGGTTTAGGTTTATTTTTTTCAAAGCAGTGCTGACTCATATGCTTTTTCTACAATTGTAATCTTATGCAAACAGCCCCTATTTTTCATACAGATGTGGCTTGATTTTAGAAATTAACAGCAGTAGATAACTGTCACGGATTTATGGTTATTTAATTGTTCGATTACAGAGGTGCAGCTGGCTCGCCTCCAGGAGTTGGGATTCAGTATGGAAGATTGTCGTAAAGCTCTTTTGATCTGCCAAGGTAACTTCAAATAATCTCAGCTGGCCTTGCAGACTGTCTAACTTCCAACTAAGTAAAAACTTCCAGGCTGTAAAGTAGCTGTTGCACAGGCAGTATTTCCTTCTGTTTACTTTGGCTGTGTGTTGGCATGTAATCTTAAGCATTCTCATTTTTCTATTCTGTTGCTGTGTAGAACCTACCTGAAAGATTCTTCTTGCTTTTGGGATGTCATATGTGGAGTGTTAGTGTATATTTTTGTCTGGGGGGTTGGATTGTTGTTTTGGGGCTTTGGGTTTGTTTTTTTTCTCTTTTATGGTATACCTACTTCTTGCTATCATCCACCTGTTTCTCCTTAGAGCATGTGTTTTCATCTCTCCTTTCTGAATTATGTATTTTATCTGCTTCTACATGTAATATGTGACAAGAGATGGAGCTTTAGCGCAAGTGACTTTAGCACTGTCATGTTTCCCACCTTGTTTGTAGGCATTCATAGTATTAATATAGCTTTATATTATGTTGCCACTCAGTGTGCAAACTTGGAAAACACATTTCTTATTGTTAGCAAATACTAATGTATTTGTAATCTTCTCGTATTTATGTTAGTAAGTAGAAGGCATTCAGGGTACTGTTGATACTTCTGGAGAGAGAAGGAATTAGTTTGCTTACGTGTGTTTTTTAAATACATTTTGTTGAAAATGTAGATAATGACTGATGGCTTGTTTGGTTTTGTCTAAGGTGACTTGAAAAAAGCAGCCACTTGGTTATTTAAGAACGCTGAACCTTTGAAATCAGTTTCCCAGTCCTCTTCTGGTCGAGATAGCCAGGGGATTTTGCCTTTTCAGTTCATCTCTGGAGTTGAAATAAAAGCAGAAATTATATGCATTTGCTTTATTGATGACTGCATGGACTGTGATGTTCCTCTTGCTGAGTTAACCTTTTCACGTGAGTATCTTGTTTTGCTGAGCGAGCTGCATAAAATTACTGCCAGTTACTGTGTATGTTCAGCATCATGCTCTAGTTTCTTAAGGCTCATGAAATTTTAACAGACGGTATTTTGGTGGTGGTGGTTGTGGGGGGGAGTGTTTGTTTTTAGTTTTTGTTTGCTTGACATTTTGTTTTTAAGAAGATTACAGTCTTTGTAGTGGTAAGTTTCTGGTTTCAGAACATAACAAATGGAATCTGTCCTGAGCATGTTGTAAAACATCACTGGCTGTAAATGTTATTTGAAGCATATTGTGATACACTTTTTGTACCATTTAAATTTAAAAGACAATACAAAACCTTCCGTAGCTTGCTTAACAGTTCATGAAATTGGGAAATTTGATTGGTTTGCATTAGTGTAATATTCACTGGGGTTTTTTTTGCAGGCTTGAATTTTCTCCAGCATTTGAGAGCCAACCCAGAAGGTTATGCTCGTTTTACCCTCTCTGGAGATTATTACAATCGTGAGCTTTCAGGTGAAACACTGGGGGGGTTGTTGTTTTCTTTAGTCAAGTTCAGGAAAACAGCCTTGCCTACTGCAGTAGCCTGAACTTCACCCAACATGCAGTGCATGTAATGGATTGTGAAGGGTTGAATTTTGTGATAGTGAAAAAGTTAGGTATGTAAACAGCATTCCAGTTTGGCCTTCAAATGTGTAATACATGTGACTGTTTCTGTTCATACTCAGGCTGGGAGCCATTTATTGAGCCTTGGCAGTGTTCAGTTTCTTGGCAACAGCAAGCTTCGAGCCGCCTCCATCCTTCCCGACTGAAGCTGGAAGTAAAGGCTGAACACCGTCTGGATATAAACATTACCTCTGTCTTCATGGGTACGTATGAATATTCTCTGAGAGCATCACTGTAGTTTTCAGTGTTTCAATATACTGAAAATGACAGGGACTTCTGATTGCTGGTGTCCCAGAGATGGAGGGAGGGAGATTTGGTGCCAGTCCCTACATACTTCCCATGATGTTGTACACAGGTGTGCATTTAGGCAGCCTGTATTTTATCAGATATTGTGGAAGTGAAAAGAAATGAGTTAAGTATTTTAGAGGGTAGTAGGAATTCTTTCTTTGGTCATAGGAATTTTATCAAATTCATATGCCTCTTGAAATTTAGTTTTAATCAGAAGCAGACTTTCATCTAAAGCTTTCCCTGCTTTACAGTACTTAAAAATACTTTTATGAGCTCAACTCATTTTTCAACACCTTGACAGGTGTAGTGGGTAGCTACTCATTTCAATTCTGTGGTCTCTGAAAACCTGACCTGTCAATTCCCACCTCAGGAAATCAAAATATTTTGTTCATCATTAATTCAAACTTCATGTAAGCATCTGTATTGTGAGCCTGTGATGGTGTGCATTTCCCAGAAAGATCATTGCTTATGCTGTATGGAAATCTGAATGTAATCTGACATAAGAAAAATGTCAGTATCTGAGCTTGCAAATGTAACAGAAGAGCCTTCCTTGACCCTTGACTGTTCCTTCCTTTCTCCTGCAATCCTGTGGCAGAAAGAGGGAGACAAGGTGGGAGGGAAAGAAGCAAGTCAAAGATTCCTAAGAGTTCCCATCATGCTTTTTAATACTAATGACAACAAGTAGTAAGACTAGTTTATGATTAAAACTGTGCAGAGGACTCTGTTGGTGTCTAGATATTTATTTAGGCAGGAATGTGCATGTACCTCTTAAAAACAGTAAAAAAAATAGTCAGAAACTACTCCTGATTTAGGTTAATTGCCTTCTCAGGGAGAGCTCTCAGACTGCCACAGGAGTGTCTTGAGAACATGGAATTCCACTGAAATTTTTTAAAAAGGAAAAATACCTTAAGAATAGAAAAATATTTGGCTTTGAAGACTCTGCTGATTGCTTGTTTCTTTTTGACTTATGTAAATGGCTCATAGAAAAAGCAGTGAAATAAAACTTCTGCCATTAAAGTGAAGTTTCTTCAGTGTTAAGAGTGTAACATGCTTTTCAGTTGCTTTGTTTACTGCCACCTTGGAGACATACACTGTCTATGCTTATATTCCTCTAGAGCAGTACACGTGTACCAAACAGTCCTGGATGGAAGATTACTGTAAAGAGGAGAAAGAGGTGAATGTAATCAGTACAGAAGACTGGATGGATTCTTCGGTGGATCCACCATGTTTTGGGCAGAGTATGATCCTCATTAATCCACTTTATTAGAAACAGTCCTGACATACACAGTCATCTGTCTAATGTATTACAAAGATAAATATTTGGTGTTCATAGCATACAATGAATAGTTAATGATATTTGGCAAAAGACAAAAAAGCTATTTTCTGTTCAGTTGTGTTCCATCTTTAAAACAAAAAACCTTTCTGGCTGCTTAGCCTTGGGTAAGAACTTTGCATGGCTACTTCTGCTTCCTTTTTTCCTCACACTTTCTCAGCTAATGAGTGACTACCCTGTCAAAGCTTAAATAAGAGTGTTGACTTTAGGGTGTGTACAGTTCGGAGGTTATCTTTTCCTTTCTGTACCCCCAGACACCTGCGCGACTGAATATCTGGAAAAAATGCTGTTATATTCATGAAACAATCCCCTGAGTAATAGCTCTTGATATGTGGCAGGTCTTTTCAGCTTCTTGCTTCTGGAAGAAATTTCTGCAATTTAAATGCCAACTTAGTGTAAGCACAAGGGTAGAGACTCACACACTGACTGCATGATGCCAACTGCCTGTCTCTTTCCTGATGCATGATGGGGAATAATCTACCTGTTATAGGCGGTTTTTCTTACATGCTAACTTTGTCTTTCCTGTCTGCCAGGCCTTCCTCTTGTCTACCTTAGAACTAGGAGTACAGCCAGTTTGACTAACCTAGAGCATCAGATCTATGCTAGAGGTACTGTATAGTACAGAGAGACAAAAAGGTTATTTTTTCTTATTTGGAAGGCTCTTGTACAATAAATACTGTGTTGTATTTGTGACTAGCTGATTGATTGGCCTCTGTATTTTAAAAAAACCCAGATGTACGAAACCCCAAAACCAAACAACATAACTGCTACTTGGCTTTTAAGTGGCTTAACTTAGAATTTCATGCTGTTTTTCTGTTCCTTCAGGAAAGAAGGGAGAGATATAACTAATCCTGAATAGACTGTCTGAGGAACGTTGTAAGAATTATTGACTGGTCAGCATTACTTTTCTAGAGAGACAATATAGTATGGTTAAAAACAGTGTCATAAAATCACAAGGTTCTATTTTATATTCAAAAAATATCCATCAGTATGTTCAATATCGATACTTATGCTTGATTCACCATGTTTATTTAGCTACTTAAAACTTTAAGATGCCTTCAGAAGGGACAGTCTGTTTTCTGTAAGCCTTCAGAGTAAGGCATTCCTAATAAATACCTGTTTAATTAGTTCTATATTTGACAGTATGGTCTTCGGCCAAAAACATGCAGTTTAAAGTAAGATTTATAAGAAATTTTTGACATTATGGAAGACCAGAAAGCATACTTGATGAATATGTTGCCCCTGAAGAAAAGTTGCTGCATGGGAGGACAGAAAGCATTTTATAAATCCACATCTGTGGCCTGTTAGACTGTCCCTTAGGAACATTTTCTCTGAGTGGTTGCAGGCAGTTCATAGACATTTTTAAAAAAACCCAAAATGGGAAACGATGGAAGGATTTATTTTTCTGAGGTATTTTTCAGGAAGGGTTTTCTTTGTGAAATCAAATGGACAATACAAACCTCAATACTTATTTCTTGGCTTTTAGTGGCTGTTACAACTAAATTACTAAATGAATTATGAAAAAAAACCCCTCCTTTTAATGGTAATATTTATTTTCAGAAAATTGTCTCAAAATGCATGTTTTACATTATATTTTCTTTGGAAATTCAGGCCATGGTCCCAACAATTCTTTTTTAAAAGTCTCAATAAATTGGCAGTTGATTAAATGCCAAACTAAAAGTCCATTTGGTTTCTGATCTGTAATTTTGTAGAACCTGGGCTAGCCAAAAAAATGGTACAAAGCCAAGCTTAGCACTGAAAAGATTTGTTTTATTTGCAATTGGCAACAACCAGTTTTCATTTTCAAGAATTCCATCTTCTTGACATTTAACTGGAAAGAACTTTCCTGTAAGCTTCAGAGAGATCAGATTTAACTCTCCACTTGCACTTTAAATTATACAGGAAGGACAAGGGGTAATGGGTTAAAACTTAAACAGGGGAAGTTTAGATTGGCTATAAGGAGGAAATTCTTTCCTGTGAGGGTGGTGAGGCACTGGAATAGGTTGTCCAGGGAGGTTGTGAATGCTTCATCCCTGGCAGTGTTCAAGGCTAGGCTGGACGAGGCCTTGGGTGATATGGTTTAGAGCGAGGTTTCCCTGCCCATGGCAGGGGGGTTGGAACTTGATGATCTGAAGGTCCTTTCCAACCCTAACTATTCTATGATTCTAAGTTGTATATGATCATCAGTAACTCCTTCAAAAACGTACCTACCCACTACCCCTTCTTGCCTGTGCAGACCTGTGCTTAAGTTACTAGTTAGACATATGGTGGGATGGATGTGTTTCAAAACATGAAGTGCTTGAACTTGGTATCAGTCAGCCTCTGGGATGACTGCAGATAAATTCTGTGGAATAGATTTAATTTCTGTCTTGCCTTTAGTTTAAGCAGCTGATTTATTGTGTGAGCCGCCTTTCTACTTCTGTCATTCAAAAGGATGTATGTACTTAAGTAGCAGCCATTTATCTTCCTTTTTAAGTAAGTAACTAGAATTTGACAGGCTTTTTTTTTTTTCTCCTGTCCAAACACAGTAAGTATTTTCACAGATACAATGTACTGCAGTACAGAAGATGAGAGCAACACTTGCGTGCTTGTTAGTATAGTAATGCATACTTGGAAGAAGTCAAGCATGATAGGTGAAGTTTCTTCTGGGGTTTTGCTGTCCCAGCATTTTAACAAAGCCAGATAACCTTTTAGTTGCATCAAATAATTTTTCATACTTCGCTTTAATAGGAATTTTTGTGGATAGGGAAATACTTCTTCAGTCTTTGAGGATAAAAGTCACATTTAAAGGGGATAGCGGATAGTCCTGTATTTCTCATGTTGAATAGAGTACTTAATCATAAGTGAATATGCGTTTAGCACTTTATGAGCCTTTGGATGTACCTGAAAAGTTACTGCTTATCATTGGGCTTTTAGTTAGGTTTTCCACATGTTAGAACTGGAGTCACTGTGTTTTTAAAGACTTCATATGAAGAAACAAAAGAATATTTAGATTAAGCTCAGTTCCCGACAGGGGTGATGTAGAGGAAGATTTTGCTTTGTACCGTTTTTGTAATACTTACTACATTTTAACATTTTTAATAATCTGTTATCCTGATTCTTTGATCTGTTTAGTTAGTGAAGGTTGTGACTCATCCTACACTGACATCTGATGAATGCTTCTCTTTTAAGCATTTAGACAAATCTTTATTCTGTTTTATAGCTGAAATGAAGACTCCAAAACGCAGGCAACCATTTGTCCCATTTGCCCTAAGAAATCATACTGGATGCACGCTCTGGTTTGCCACCCTAACTACAACTCCTACCAGGTAAGAAGCTGTTGTAGTATCACTGTGACTGTCTGATTTCTCTCCCATGTCAGCCAAACCATAATGTTTTTAGTACTTTAGTTTTCTTCACAAGAAACGTATGCAACACCCATTCTTTCTTAATTAAGGGCCTTTTCTTTGGCAATAAGAACTAACTGCAACTAAGAAAAAAAAGATTATCTTTTTTCAAGAATCTCAACAGAGTTAGAAAACCCATCAGAGATATTCGTAGAATCATGGAATAGTTAGGGTTGGAAAAGACCTTGAAGATCATCTAGTTCCAACCTCCCTGCTATGGGCAGGAGCGCCTCACACTAGACCATGTCACCCAAAGCTCTGTCCAACCTGGCCTTGAACACTGCCAGGGATGGAGCATTTGCCACTTCTCTGGTCACCCTGTGCCAGTGCCTCACCACCCTCACAAGGAAGAGCTTTGCCCTTATATCCAACCTGAACTTCCCCCGTTTTGGTTTGAACCCATTACCCCTTATCCTATTGCTACAGTCCCTGATGAATAGTCCTTCTCCAGCATCCTTGTAGGCAACCTTCAGATAATATAGGCCTCCTTCATAGTATGTCTATGTTTACTGCAGGAATGTATAGACTGAGGCAGACTAAAAAGCACTTGTTCCTTGAAGTAGTTTCTTTGTCAGTTTGTGAAATGATGTGATTGTCTTCTCAGGGCTGCCCTGTCTCACAGTGGGAGTCCAGGTGTGGTTCCTGAGGAAAACGGGACGTTGCTGGACGATGCCCACAATGTCAGTGAATGGCAAGAGGTTATTACTGGGGAAGAGATTCCATTTGAATTTGAAGCTAGAGGAAAACTCAGACACAGGTGAAGTGACCAGGCTGTGAGATGTGTTTTGGCACACTCATGTATGAAACATACAGGATCATAATTGTTGAGGACAGTAGCAGATGTTAAATAAAAAGCGGATATTTTTTAAATCTCCTGTTAATATTTTGGTTTTAATAAAACTCACAGAGTGAAATTATCAGCTGTCTGGAAACAAGCATATATTGCTGTTGGTGAAAGCTGTTCTAGATATGAGTTGGATCATCATAAGCTTTTGGAAAGACTTAGGGGCTTCAATTACAAATCCTATGTACTTTATTCTAAATGGGGGGGAGAGTGGGCAAATTGGTTGTTGAGCATTAGTGTTGTCAGTGTTAAGAACTAGAAGAACGTGTTAGCAAATATGTAGCATGCTTTTATTTTTGCTTACATGGTAGTTGTACTTCTGTATGTTCACTAGGGAAGGTTGAACAGATGTAAAAGCATGTCTTGATCCACGAGAGAAAATCTCTTTTGAGACTTTTTTTTTTTTTAACCTTCAGGGAGATTCCTTTTTTTGGAATCCAGGGGATGTTCTTGAACTGTTTGATACGTAATAATGCTTAATAGTAATTTAACTTGATCTGACTTGATAGGCACACTCACGATCTAAGAATTCACCAGTTACAAGTGAGAGTGAATGGCTGGGAAGAAGTCAGTCCAGTGTCTGTAGATAAAGTTGGAACATTTTTCCGATATGCTGCACCAGATAAGAACTCATCCTCTTCTACTGTAAGTTCTGATTTTGAGTGTTAGTTTTAAAAGAATATGTGATCTGGGAGTAAAGATGTCTCCAACATTTTGATTTTAAAGCAGCTGCTGTACGAGATGGTCCTCTTCCCAGTTAGCTTGGGTGGGAACAGTTTGGAGATGCTGTGTTCCTAACTGGCAGTTTTATGCATAATAAAAACACAGAGTACTTGGTGGTTAGTCTGTGCTTTGCAGTCAGAGCTCCCAGTGACACACTAATATATTAGTATAATGAACTCGTGGGGACTGAGCTTTAATTCAGCAGCTATTTTTATTTCTTCTACTGCAGGAATGCTTTTCATGTGTTTAATTTACTTGAAATAAATAACACTGGCAATTTCCTGTAAGCCTAGAGATTGTTGAAATATCTGGCTGCTTAGACAAAATACACTTGTCGTGAAGGAAAAATGCAAGTGTAATAATCAGAAGGCTGGCAGTTGGTGGTTCAGGCTCAGTGATCAGAATGATCTCATGGATTGCAAAACCAGTTAAGTTTTGAGCTTAGCTACTGAAAATTGTTGAGCACTGGAGAAGTTGGAGATCTTTTGGGTATAAAAGAGGATTAGAATTTAGTTTCATGGAACTACTGACAAGAGCCGGTAGTCTCTGCTTTGAATCAGAGATTTCTGATGCTTTCATATGGAATCATAAAAAGCATCATCTGTCTGTAACTTGATTATTGAAGGGAAAGGATGCAAATTAACGAGAATTGCTGTTCAAAAACAACTTCTGTAGCTTCTTTCTTGTTTTTTCAACAAACCTTCTTCCTTCAACTCTTTTCAAAGCAGTATTACAAGCAGGTTTTCCTAATAGATTTCTGAAATGTTTTCCAAACTGTATTGAAGATCAGCTCAGCAAAAAGCGATAAAAATACTCAGTTTATTCTTCTGTATTAATGTTCTGTATTGCAACTGAGAGTAATAGCTGAAAAGTTGAACGACTTTAACTTTTTTGTTTACTATTTTCCCAGCTTGGAAGCCCAATAAGTAGAACAAATATAATACATCCGCAAGTCTACGTGAGTATATATTTTTATTATTTGAGAGCTACTTAAATAAGACTAGCATAGTTCTACAGTGAGTTGGCTTTTCCATCCTTCTAGAACCTTATCAAAAGTGGAAGTCAGGCAAACAGAATGAACTTTCAAATCAGTATGTGAATTCCAGCATGTGAGCCCATATAAAATGTGGGTTTCAGGATATAAGTGGACTTCGTTTAATGTAGAAGATAGAGCACCTCAGTAGGAAGGAAGCTAAGAGTGAAGGAAGTATGAATATTCTAAGGAAGCTTCACCTTATTTATTTTAGTTTTGACAGATAGGAATGATGAGTGGCTTGTAATTATATGAGGCTTGGAATTCACACTCCATGAATTTATGTAATAATGTAATAGAGAATGTGTAAATTATTCTTTTAGGGTCTATATTGCTTTTATTTAAACTTGCATCATTCTGAAAATGATGATGGAGTTACTAGTATATAGAATTACTTTTTCATAGTTAATTTTATTGTATTTTGAGGAGGAGATACAGGATTATAAATCATTATTATCAAACTATGTATACCTTAGGTGTTGTACGTGGTTGGACTCAGTTGGCAAGTTTTTACTCCAGCAGTTACTGCTTCAAAATTGAGGCGTCCCTCTTAGAATCATAAAGTCACAGAATAGTAAGGGCTGGAAAGGACCTTAAGATCATCAAGTTCCACCCCCCCTGCCATGGGCAGGGGCACCTCACAGCAAACCATGTTACTCAAGTCTCTGTCCAACCTGGCCTTGAACACTGCCAGGGATGGAGCATTCACAACTTCGTTGGGCAACCCTTTATCTCTTCTAGATATAATCATTACCTGAGCTTTTTAATGCTTTTAAATATCTTCCAGTTTTCTTCATTGCCTCCAGTTCGTGTGGTATTTGAAGTTACCATGGAAGGTAGCGCTCGAAAAGTGATAACAGTGCGCTCAGCCTTGATGGTGAAGAACAAGCTGGAAACACCAATGGAACTAAGGCTAGACAGTCCTTCTGCTCCTGACAGTAAGTGTTGTATATTTCTTACATATTGTGGGGAATCTTTAGGTTCCCCCCCAAAAAGATTCACCCATCTATACGACAGAGTAGCCTTCCCTGGAGAGGAAATTGGTAATATTAAGAAGAAAATGATCAGTAATGTAAGCTAGAGAACCCACTAAGAATTTTGCTTATTGTTCAGGTAAATGGAGAAAGCTGGGACTCTGCAAAGACTGAATCTTATTTCTGTATGTAGCCTGTTGTATCTTTTATTAGTAGTCTAGAAGGCTTGGGGAATTAGCATGCAAAGGAGCAGTCTAAAAATGTAGCAATAAGTTCATAATGTACACAAAACATAATGCATGAGGTCCTTTTGAAATAAGCATTTTCACTAAAGCATCCAATCAAGAAGAATTTGAATTCTAGCAATTTCATGTGGCTCCTGTCTGAGATTTACACACTTAAGTTTGTCTGCTGCCAGATTATTAACAAGACTTGAAAACAACAGATTGGGGTTTGAAACATACATAAAGTACCTGGTGTTTTATGTTAAATCAAGCCAGGTTGCTTCAAAAATTTGGGACTTACTATATGAAAAACTTGATGCTTTCCAGTTAAAGGGCCTGTTTTAATATGTATGTTTTCTTTTCTGGTTGCAGAGCCTGTAGTTCTTCCAGCAGTTATGCCAGGAGATTCCTTTGCAATTCCATTACATCTTACATCTTGGCGTTTGCAAGCCAGGCCAAAAGGAATGGGAGTCTTTTTCTGTAAGGCTCCAATTCACTGGACTAATGTTCAGAAGACAGCAGAGGTCTGTAGTAGCAAGCAAGAGTGTCATTCAATGGAGTCTGAAAACAGCCATTTTTTCAGGTAATTAAGACCTAATTGTTTTCCTGTATTATCTTCTTCTAATAAATGAAATCATGTGAGAGTAACCAACAGGAAAGAAGATCCTTTAAAGATGAAAGCTGCTGCAGTTTAATGGGATGTTTTGTTTGGTTTGTTGACTAATGAGAAAGCATTGAAGCATAACTGCTGAGTTTCTGCAGGGCTCCTTGACGCCCCTTTGACAGTGCCATTAGTCTGAGAACCCAAAGTAAACACACTATTAATATTTATTGTAAAAAGGAAAAGGTTAGGAAACAGAATGTGTACTGCTGTTGAATTATCTAGTCTGTCTCACTGAGGGTAATGGTGGTTTGCCATAGTGTGGTCCCAAATACTCATCCTTTGTCATGAATGTCCTGTGCTCTATTCTAAGCTCCAGAATGTCACTGCATGGTGAGGACGTTAATGGAATTTTGTAGTTATGTGGTATGATGGATTTAGGGAAGCTCATAATTTAGGAAATACAAGAATAGAGATTATGGAAGTTGTTTCAGGAAGAGACTTTTACATAATGTTTATAGTTACTGCTGTGTGTCAGTTCCATAGTTCATTTTTAATCTGCTGATTTTGAATGTATCACAGGAAGGAAAATTAGCAAATTATTTAAAATGGAGACTTACTTACTCATTATTTTACCTTAAGTAATGAGAAACTAAGCGTCAGGTGGCCAAAGCAAGGATACATCTATTTGGAACAAGGACATGTTCAACATGTATGCTTAAGAACATGATTATACTCTAATAGTTAAAATCTATTTAGTGATAGTTGATAACATGTTTTTTTTCAAATTTATGAAAATTGGTAATCTGTAAATGCAATTTTCTGTTAAGCTTTTTCAGTGACTAAACTAATTATTTTGATTAAAACGAGAAAACTCCTATTGTCTTAATGTTAGGAATAAATACAAAATACTTTATAATGAAACTCTAAAGTGCTTGTGTGGAGAATGATTATAAATGGTGGTTTTGATGTCAGTCCTGAAAGTACAACATAATGTGGGATTCAATGCAGTACACAAAGACAGGGTTCAATTATTCTGTCAAGTTCATTGACTTCTCACATGTGTTTGCCTTCACAGGTTTTGTGTGGCTATAAAGAAAGAAAATTATCCAGATTACATGCCTTCCAACATATTTTCTGACAGTGCTAAACAGATTTTCAGGCAGCCTGGGCATACTATTTATCTGTTACCAACAGTGGTAATCTGCAACTTGCTGCCTTGTGAGCTTGAGTTCTACATTAAAGGAACACCAATTAAAGGGACATTAAAACCTGGCAAAGAGGCAGCATTGCACACAGCTGATACATCTCAGAACATTGAGCTTGGTAAGGTTCTTTTTCAGATCCCACTTTCTGATCCTCCTGGAGGGGAGTACCTCTCTATAATTGTTTCTTGTCTAAAGAACCACACTATTGAGAAAATTGGAAGTGTTTATATGATTGTCTCATTGGGTTGCAGGGTTTCTTATAGTTAATAACCAAGTGCCCGCATCCCAAGAGAATTAGGAATATTGCCATCATTCCCCAAATCTGTCAGCTGTCTTGATCTGTTCCTCATTCAAGGTCTTTTCTCATTTTCCTGAGAGTGGAAACTGTAGATAACAGCAATAAAGAAGGGGATAAATCAAATAAATTCCCCAAATTTTGGGTGATTCTGCTGTTACTTCTGACAGAAAAAGTTGGTGTTGACACTGTGTGTGAAATTACTGAACTCTGGCTGGACTTCTGATGCTTAAGGTGGTAATTAGCCCTAAGCGGTTCGTTATAGAACTTTTTTTGCTGCTTGTGACTTAAATTGAGGCACTTCTTTATGAGGTCAGAGGTTACTATGCTGGAGAGATTTTGAAGTTTATCTGGATAAGCTATATGAAATAGAAAGGTTCAGCTGTAGGAAACACCAGACTGTCTGCTCATCAGAAACCAGTGTGTTTCTGTACAGGTGATGTTTGGTTTCATTTTTGTAGGGATACTGCTAGAAAACTTCCCAGTCTGCAAAGAGCTGTTAATTCCTCCTGGGACACAAAACTACATGGTGCGGATGCGGTTGTATGATGTCAACAAACGACTGTTAAGCTTGACCATCCGGATTGTGTGTCGTGCTGAAGGTTCTCTAAAAATACTGATTTCAGCACCATACTGGTTAATCAACAAAACAGGTAAGTTTACAGTATTTTCTGTAATCATAAACTGGGAAATAAAGATTCCATGCAGTGTTAGGGTAGTCCCTAATTTGAAATAGTTTTTACCATTCTCATTTTAATTTATTCAGAGGTGAAAAGCAGTTTAATACTCCATCTTTTTGTGTTTACTTAAAGGATTACCACTTATCTTCAGACAAGATAATGCAAAAACAGATGCTGCAGGTCAGTTTGAAGAGCATGAGCTTGCTAGAAGCCTCAGCCCACTTCTCTTCTGTTACGCTGATAAAGAACAGCCAAACTTGTAAGTAGTACTGTAAGAGCAGCATACAGGAGGAACCTTACAAAGTATGAAAGTAATTCTCAGAGGATTGAGTGCTGATATACTACTATGAATATTGTGTAGGTAAAGTCCCTGTTAAGAGAACTTGTTAAGTTTGTAAGATTGTAAATACTGAAATAAATGTACTGGATAGTTAGACATTGCGTACTGAAAACTCCTTGGTTGGCTAATTCTGTTGTGTCTGCAGGCTGCTTTGGGTTTATTTTGCATGTTTTTAACTCATACTTCTTTGTAAGAAAATCAAAAACCTTTTGAAGAGAATTACCAGGTTGTATAAATTACTTTGTTACCACTAAAAAAACCCACCCCAACCCTCTAATCCTAAAATCTGACTATTAATAGAGAAGTAGTAGCAGTTGTTTAATAAACCATGTAAGTCCACATGCAGCAGAGTTACTGTGATTCTGATGTAAAAGGAAATGGCAGGATTTTGGAGAGGAAACTTTTCAGTTACTTTAACTGGTGACAAGGAGAGAACTTTCTTTTTCCATTAATATAATAACATGATTTAAAACAAACTTACCTGAAGTGTTCTGGAATTCTTGCTGAAATGAAGAATGGTTTAATTTATCACAAAAATTATTATTTTTTTTCTCTTTTCAAATTAAAAGACACACAAACGTTGTCATGGTTAATTAGTCTGAAAATTTCCAAGCTTTTTACATGACATGGTCACTGAATATTTGCTTTTAATTGAATAATTGCTGAATTATTGCACTGAATTTGAACATATGTTAAGAGAGCTTCTGGCAGAAATGCAGAATGGATTACTCAAGAAGAGATTTATTGTGGCTTCTAATATTTTTATATTTAAACACAGGTGTTCTTTTGTACCTGGTTATGTGTTTAATCATCAGTATTGTGTTGATACCTGATCCTTCATTTAAATGAGTAAAGCTGTGTTTTCTTCTCACCTTTAGTTGTACAATGCGGGTTGGAAGAGGAATCCATCCTGAAGGCATGCCTGGCTGGTGCCAGGGTTTCTCCCTGGATGGTGGTAGTGGTGTGAGATCCCTGAAGGTGATTCAGCATGGAAACAGGCCAGGCCTCATTTACAGCATTGGTATGTGTTGACAGGAACCTTTGGGAAATATTGTAGAACATGTGAAGGTATGATGTCAGTGGCACCAGAAACAGAACAATTGTGTCACAGAAGCATATGTTGTTACAGTTTTTTGTGGGTCCAGAGAAAATTATTAAACAAAAAAAAAGTATTCTTAAGTGTTTTTATGTCTTTATATTTATTTCACTAGCTTAAAAATCAGTTTTGAGTTATTTTTATTTTCATATTTCATCACTGGGTGTTAATAACTGCATTTACACATTGTTCTGTTTCTGCATCTTTATTCCAACATTCTAGTATACTTAGAAGTATGTTAGACATGCAGCTTCTGCCATAGTACTGCCACAGAAGTAGCACATGACTGACCAGTTACAGTGTACAGGCACTCTAAATAATCAAAGGCAGTAATGCAGTGGGATTTAAAGCCTACTTAGAAGTAGTACAGCCATGTGAACTTCAGGTGTCCAAGAAAAAGAACCTTTGTTATATGAAAGGTATTGTGGCAGATGTCTTGTTTTCTTTTATAAGAAATAGCTTTATTTTTCACTTGTTTCTATCACTAGGTATCGATGTTAAAAAAGGCAGAGGCCGTTATATTGATACATGTATGGTAACATTTGCACCCCGTTACCTGCTAGATAATAAATCAACCTACAAGCTTGCCTTTGTCCAGCGGGAGTTTGCCAGAGGTCAGGTAAGATGCTTCCTGTTGTTACTTGTTAGTAAAATATTTGCAGTCAGTCACAGCATCTTCTAACCAAAAGGAACACAGGGGTTATACTTGAAAGTACTGTTGGCTTGTCATGGAGATCTTTCTCATTACTCTATTACCAGCATCCACCTCACAGAATAATTGCTGTGTTGATATCTGAGAGGTATTGTATTTTTTAATACCTGTAGGATATGTATTTACCAATTTCTGTTACTAGGGAACGTCCAATCCTGATGGCTACATCTCCACACTTCCTGGTTCCAGCGTTGTGTTCCACTGGCCACGTAATGATTATGATCAGTTGTTATGTGTGAGACTAATGGATGTCCCAAACTGCGTCTGGTCTGGGGGCTTTGAGGTCAACAAAAATAACTCATTCCATATTAATATGAGGTAGCTATTATATATAAATCTTCTGTAGCATGCTTCCCTTTTTTGATAGAAGCAGCTGTTGAACAGCTGGGTAAAGCAGATCAGAAGTCTACTCTTACCTCTCTTGCACTTGTTCTTGTTCAGGGACACCTTGGGAAAATGTTACTTCTTAAGAGTAGAAATTACTCTTCAAGGAGCCACATATCGCGTTGCATTCAGTGACACTGATCAGTTACCGCCACCTTTCCGCATAGACAATTTTTCCAAGGTAAAAGAGAAAAAAAAAAAAAAAAAATTTTCTGTCTATTTCTTAATAAAAGAAGAAAAGTAGGACTTTCATGTTTGTTAGAAGAGGGAGCCGACTAGCTTATGTAATGAAATAAAATTAAAGTGTATGTAGCAAGAGGTATCTGTAGATAATAATTGTAATTTTCTGAAGTTTTAATAAGAATTGGTAATACTCAACTGGTTCTTTGTGTTCAAATAATAGCATTAATGTTTGGCTTTCATGAGTGCATTAAAAGACATACAAGAAGAGTATTATTAGTGATGAGAAAACTGTGCTAGGGTGGTAGTTTTTAATCTAATCTGTGTTATTCTCAGCACTTGGATAAACTTTAAAAAGAACAGACTAATGCTACCGCTACCTTTCTCTCTGTTTTGGGGCTTCCCTGTCAGTGATTATAAAGATAGGCGAATTTACTTTTTGACTTACTGTCTTGTGGTCAGAGCAAGAGACAGAACTCATTACAGTTACTGGTTCTCATTCTGGATTTTGATACTGAACTGTTAAATAGAAGTGGGCAAGTCTCCTAATTTTGATTAGGTGATTTTGAGGTGCTGCTATGGCACTAAAGACATTCTGTACCATGGATGACAGATAAAAGCAAAGATGACATTTCTCATCCCTTTGAGACTCTCAAATTGACACCCAAATGGAAGAAAATGCGTGTGAAACCACTGCAGAGGGGAAGGAGTAAGCTGAACGTGTTTGTGACCAACTCCTGAGAAGTGAACAAACAACAGCAAAATACAAAACATCTGTCTGGTTAACAATTTCTGTTTGAAACTAAATCCCCTCTCATAACTGTTGCAGGTCCCAGTTGTTTTTAATCAGCATGGCGTTGTCGAGCCGAGACTGTACACTGAGGTAAAGCCCATGACCTCTCTGGACTATGCCTGGGATGAACCTATTCTACAACCTTTTATAATGCTGACAGTGAAAGGGGCTGGCTCCTCGGAAATCGTTTGTAGCATGAATGACTTCCAAGAGAGCAAGCAGCTTTACTACGAGAACTTCATCTATATTGCTGCTACATATACTTTCTCAGGGTAATTCTGTCTATTAGATGAAAATATGTTGAATGTTCATCATGTTCTTTAGGCTTTACATTAATATTCTCTTAATGGTTGCTGTTGGAAAGTTATTCAAATGCAGCTAAACTTAGGTCAACCTTGTAGGTAGCAGAAGAAATGCCAGAACTCAGAAATTAAGTGGCAGTTGGTGAGCCCAGTGTCTTACCTTCTTTGTGATAACTTGGGTTTATAGGTGCAGCTTACCACTGTTTATTCTATCACATAGGAGAATTTAGCATAGGGCATCTGCTGTGCTCTCACTGTCTGATCTTGGAAGAACAGAGATATTTATAGTCACATCCGGGGGCTTAATTTGATTTGCTGTATAAAGAACACTGACTGCCGGACATACCTACTTATAACATGCCTGTGAATTATAAACCTGCACTAGTTGACATGCTGTTGAAAACAGCTATGGGAGATTGAAACATGCTTTTTTGCTTTCCTCAGTATAAGGCAGAAATTTTTCCTTGGAATTCATCTGCTTTGTCTGAGAAGTTCCTAGTTTCAGTGAGAAGTCAAAGCCCCTTTTTAGACTGTACCCAGATTGACAGCTTGCACTGGTAATTCCAAAAATACCAAGAGGGGGAAAAATCCCCAAACAATATAGATTTTAGTCTGATTGGCTGCATTGGAAGCATAAGCTTCCTCAGTTGGATTTTCGTACAGAGGTAATCTAGTCTGCAAAAGCAGCAGTTACTCTGAATAAGCGTGGTGTTTTCTTGGTGTTCTAGGTTACAGGAGCCAGGTGTAAGACCAGTTGCTTCAAATAAGGATGCTGCATATGCAGAGCTCGTCCTTGATGTTTCTCCAAAGACTCAAAGAGTTGTACTGAAAAAGAAGGTACCAAGACAAATTTGATTCTGATAAAATGCTGTTGCTGTGTGCTGAAGTAAAATCATATGCTGTGAGAGAGGAAAAAAGAACATTTTCATGAGAACTTTTAAAGGATGGAGACGGACTCCACTGAAAGTGACAGGTTATTGCAATTGAGGTTGCTTGAATTAGGGTGGTGCTTCTGTATAGGACTTTCATGGGCATGAGACTGATAGAAAAGGGTATTTGAATAAAAGTGGTAAGGAATGTTGTTAATGCCTCTAAGACAATCAAGTATGATAATTATATGTTGGATGTTCTAATGAAATTAACAAAGTAGGGCATGCTTTTTTTTTGGTGCATTGTAAGCCAAGTCTTCTATTTCTGGAGCTTTTAAGAAATAGAAACTGAATTTAGTTATTGCTGAAATTAAAAGTAGCTTGTAAATACAACTTTGCATCTAACAGTGCTAATGTAGGATGCATATTCATTGGCTATCAAAGTTGAATTAGAAGGTTTTGTACAAACTAGTTCCTAATTCTAATTCAGGGCTCAGAATATAAATATATACAAGTCATTCCAAGAAGTATAATTCAAAGCATCTGATAGCAAAACAGAAAACAGAAATATTTGCTCTGTACTGCTGTGTTCACTTAAATGTTGATTTTTTTTTATGCAACAGGAGCCAGGAAAACGATCCCAGCTTTGGAAAATGACAAGTACAGGAATGCTTTGCCATGAAGGTTCATCTGTTCCTCAAAACCCCCATAAAGCATCTCCTCGGAATGTGGACTCTTGTATGATTTTAGATATTGCAGGCCTGGCGGCTGTTACTGATAACAGGTATGGACCATGGACCATGTCTATGAAAGCACTCTTAACATGATGTTCCACAGGAACAAGTTGGCCAAAGAAGCTGTAAATGCTCCACCCTGGCAGCATTCAAAGCCAGGTTAGACAGAGCCTTGGGTGACATTGTCTAGGGGGACTGAAACTAGATGATCTTAATAAGGTCCTTTCCAACTCAGACTGTTCTATGATGCTCTCTGAATAAAGGAAGAAATTATTGTGAAGGTATGTTGAAGAGTTAGATTTTATCTGTCTTTGCGAACAGACCTTGTGATCACTTTTGTGACTCAGAAATATTTTTAAAAACATGACTAATGTATTTTCAGCAGCACAAAAAGAGCACTTTGGAAGTGAGATTAGGGAATGAGCTTTAATAAAGTTAAAGTGTTTGCCATTAACGCATCACAAGACCAGAACAAACAAGTTGGTGTGCTTTCATTGCAGGTATGAGCCCCTGATGTTGAGGAAGCCTGATCGACGGCGCAGCACTACGCAGACGTGGAACTTTCGTGATGGAAAGTTGACCTGTGGTATTCATGGACTTGTTGTCCAGGTCAGTACTGATTCTGTGTTGAACTTGTGTTGGCTGCTGCTGATACAGATGACAGAGTCATTTGGGTTTAAGATCGAAGTGAGCTAAAAGCTTTGAGGCCAAAGTTCATATTACAGAGGAAATCATGCTTGAGCAAACAGCTCATGTGGCTCAAATTCATGGTTAAATGTCCTTACCAATTTCAAATGACTAAACATCTTGCACTATTAATTTGAAAGTAAAAATTATTAGTACATCGTTATTGAAATATAACAGTGCAGGGAAAATAAGGCCTTGATACTCTCATGCATACCAAATGCTGCAGATTGTGTCCATCAGTGTTCCTGATGAAGTCAAGATTTGTGTATAAAAAAAACACTTCTCACAGTCATCGTTATGGCACTTTAGTAATAAGAATTTTAGAAGCAGTTTGAACTGTTTGCTCTCTTTGTGTTCCAGGAAACTCTTGACTTGCAGACAGCTAACTCTTGCAAACTATTTGATAAATCTGCTTGATGATGGTAGAATTTATAAGCACAGAAACATGGCTTGCTTTTACAGAGTTGATAATTAAATATCAGAAGAACTTTGATGCTTTTCTATTTTTCCCCACACAGTTTTAATATATGTAAATAATTATCTGAAGCCTTTCCTTATTGTTTACTTTTTTTTTCACCTTGCTCTTCTTTCTGCAGGCAAAGGGGGGAATAGTAGGCCTTCATGATGGAGCAGAAGTTGTTCTTGGTCCCGATACTTCACTTGATCTTCTGGGACCAGTTCCACCTGAACAGCAGTTCATAAACCAAAAGATGAGGCCTGGGTCAGGAGTACTGGCTGTTAGAGTCATCCCGGATGGGCCAACTAGAGTTCTACAGGTGAAAACCCTTCATTAACTAGACTCTAGTTTCATTATTTGCTTGTTCTTGAAATACCTTTTTCTGTATTGCATCTCTAAATTCCTACCAGAAGTTCCTTTGTAGTGATACAAAGTGGGAGGGGAATATCATAAACCAGACATAATAGCAACAAAAATTTTCACTGTATTTATTTGTTAAAACATAATTTTATAAGGTTGGACCATGTAGTTATTTGTAAATTGGAAACTGCTCATTTTAGTAATGTATTTATTTATCAGGTAACGGATTTTAACCAACGTAGAAATGATCGTTTATCCAGCGAAGGAGATGAATTTCCCATTACAGAACAGGATCTACGCAAGTTGAAAAACCCAGATACAGAGCAGGAATTAGAAGTAAGATAGTACAACTAGTATCTGTCTCTCTTATTTATCATTTTCATTATAGATTTTAGAGGAGGGTGGGGGGAGCTGTTAACTTTCCCCATAATCGCTTCTTGTTATGAACTTGTAGATTTTTCGGCTAAAACTTCATGCTTAGAAGTTGTTTTTATACATGTCAACACCTCTTCAAAGGTGAACTGTCAGTGAGCTGTTAAAACTCTCTGGAGTCTAAAAAAATTACATCTTTGCAGAAGTGTGTATTCAGTATCACAGTTTTTTTCAGTGTTAGTTGGTAAGTGGAATTTTTTTTTATGTTCAAATAATCTTTTCTCAGGTGCTTGTGAAACTGGAAGGTGGAATAGGATTGTCTTTGGTAAATAAGGTTCCTGAAGAGCTGGTGTTTGCAAGCCTCACAAGAATTAATATCCACTACACAGATCTGTCAACAAGTCAGGTGCTGGAGCTCAGTGTGCAAGACATACAGGTATTCGCTGTTTTGAAACCGGTGTGTTTGCTCGTGGGTCTTCTGCAGGTTTTGTTGTCATAACAGGTTTGAAAACTGTTTAGACCCGTTACTGAGATGTCAAATCTTATATATCATGGAAGTTCAGTTTGCGTTGGTGTCTCCTTTTTTCATGTCCTCTACTTAATAGTACTTGAGACAAGGATTGTATTTCATGCCATGGATTTCGAATAGGCAAGTTAGAATTTTTTTTTTTTATTATTATTTTATTTTTATTTTGCAGACAGGTCAGTTGAGGTTTTTCTCCCTTCCTGATATTTCTCATTGTATAATGAAAAAGCAGCTGTTGAAAGCAGGAATCCTAACGCTGCTAGTACCACAGTATAAATGACAGATCGTAGGCAGATAAGACAAATATAAACCTCTTACATTTTGTTTACAAATAGTTGTTGGTTTTGACTTTGCAGAATTTTACCTTAACCTCTGTTTTCTGTTCATTCTTTGAAATTCAGAAGGTAAGTTGAAGGGAATTGCGGGTCCTGATGTACATTACACAAGGTACTTAATGTGCATCAGATAAACTACAGTGCAGGGGTAGCTTAACTCTGGGGGTGTATAACATTTTTGGTTGTGTTTTTGGAAACAGAAAAAAAAAATCAGAGAATACAGAAGTTTTATTACAGGTTTTGTTGGTAGTTACAACCATTTTTTTAAATAGAGGGCATTTCTCAGTATTTCTTTGGTATAGTCTCAGTGTTGACCAGTAACCAAACCAAGTATATTCAGTACCTCCCTGGCTCAGGGATTAGGTATTTCTGAAAGCTTTTAAGTCCTTGGTTAAGGAAGATCGCTCTTGTTGCTTATTGCCACTTACTCAGATTCTCTTATCTCTGTAGGTGGACAACCAGCTTATTGGCACCACATGGCCTTTCATGCTCTATCTGACCCCTAAGACAAGTGAAAATGAATCCATAGAAACTGGTCCTGCTGTGCAAGTAAATGCGATGAAATTTCCCAGTAAAAATGCACTGACTGATATATACAAGGTAAACAAACCACCATCCTTTGATTGTGCCATAAAGGTGTTAATCTGTTTAAATGAACTTTCCTGTTCCTGAATTTTGCTAATACTCCAGTAATGTGAGAAATACGCTTCGTTGAATTAATACTGAGGTGTAAAGGAGGCTATATCCACCTTCTTATGGTCATAGAGTTTAAAGCTACAGTACAGTGATGAACAAGATAATAAATATATTTAAAAATAAAACAGATTAGGCCAGATTTAGTTCATGTCTGTGACTTTACCTTTCAACCCAGTTATTCCCCCTCAGAACTGATAGGGACCTTAGAGAACCAGAATATCTGTGTATGCTTTTCATAAGTTGTTTACAAGGTTATTGCTTCTCTCTGACAAGCTGTTGTCATGCAGTATAAACCCTATTCTGTGTACTATAGCTGTTTGGAAATGTATCCACCAGCTGTGGTATGCATTGTGAGAGCAAACCAGAATTGCTTATCAAGACCTATTTTCTCGCTTGGAATCTTATAGAACCATAGAATAGTTAGGGTTGGAAAGGACCTTAAGATCATTAAGTTCCAACCCCCTACCATGGGCAGGGGCACCTTGCTCTAAACCATGGCACCCAAGGCCTCGTCCAACCTGGCCTTTAACACCGCCAGGGATGGAGCATTCACAACCTCCCTGGGCAACCCATTCCAGTGCCTCACTACCCTAACAGGAAAGAACTTCTTCCTTATATCCAATCTAAACTTCCCCTGTTAAAGTTTTAACCCGTTACCCCTTGTCCTGTCACTGCAGGACCTAATGAAGAGTCCCTCCCCAGCATCCCTATAGGCCCCCTTCAGATACTGGAAGGCTGCTATGAGGTCTCCACACAGACTTCTCTTCTCCAGGCTGAACAGCCCCAACTTTCTCAGCCGATCTTCATATGGGAGGTGCTCCAGTCCCCTGAGCATCCTCGTGGCCTCCTCTGGATTTGTTCCAACAGTTCCATGTCCTTTTTATGTTGAGGACACCAGAACTGCACACAGTGCTCCAAGTGAGGTCTCACGAGAGCAGAATAAAGGGGCAGGATCACCTCCTTCGACCTGCTGGTCACGCTCCTTTTGATGCAGCCCAGGATACGGTTGCTTTCTGGGCTGCGAGCACACACTGCCGGCTCATGTTTATTTTCTCATCAGCCAGCACCCCCAAGTCCTTCTCCGCAGGGCTGCTCTGAATCTCTTCTCTGCCCAGCCTGTAGCTGTGCCTGGGATTGCTCCGACCCAGGTGTAGGACCTTGCACTTGGCATGGTTAACCTTTGTAAGTTTTGCATCAGCCCACCTCACAAGCGTGTCAAGGTCCCTCTGGATGGCATTCCTTCCTCCAGCGGATCAACCGAACCACACAGCTTGGTGTCATCGGCAAACTTGCTGAGGGTGCACTAAATCCCACTTAATCTTCCCCCATATATTTTGACACTGTTCTGAAAACAGCTGATTTCAGTGTTGGAGAACAGCAAAGCATCAGATTCTGAAGTGTTAGTGTTAGGCAATGAAGCACAATACCTTCCAAAAAATGTATATAATTGTCAGTAGTCATAGGTAACTTTAAGTGAAGAAAACTGCCAAAGACGTTTTATAGATGGGAATTTTACTACAGATCCATTCCAGTGAAAATACTCTGTTGAAGTAGAACATACTGTCCTATTTAATGGCTTACATGGAGTGTTAATATTGTAAACTGAGACCTGTTTTTCCTCATAGCACCTGATGATCACTGCTAGAAAGTTCACCGTTCAAATTGAGGAGAAACTACTTCTGAAGCTGTTGAGTTTCTTTGGCTATGATCATTCTGAATCAGGTATCCTATGAAATTACAAAAACCAGTTTTACAGCATACAGAGGTATTATGATTTTTGCATGTAAAATAAGGTCAAAATACCTGGCAAACTCTTTGCTGCTTGGAAACATCTGTTGAACAGAAAGCTGGAAAGCTGAGGTCTCAGTGGCCCCTGTAAAGCTCCTAAAGTACGTGGGGTATTCATGGTATACACCCATGTAATGTGCTATTGTCCAGTACTCAGTGATTGAGCTGAGCCTCTGTGGGAAGGAGTTTAGTATTTGTTTTAACTTTCTGTATCTGGATTCATCTAAACTGGGATAAAAGAAATTGTGTTACTAATTTAGCAAACCACTTCGTTTAGTAATGTTTGTTCATTTCAACCCAAGGCTAGAAATGGGATCTCTGTTCATTTGTTGTTGGGCAGTCCTCTTGCTTAACAGAAGGAAAATTTTGCCTGCCTGACCTTTGAGTTGTGGCATCCATACCCCTGGCTTTGATTGTAATAAGATTTTATTTCCACTCAGTGAGGCAAGACAGAGCTCTTAAATCTTCTCATAGATATTGTTCTAATCCTTATGTTGCAGAGTTTATCTGCTTGATGGAAACTTTCTGGAATGTCTGTTTTGGAGTGGCAATTGAAAAAGTCACTTTTATGCAGTGGGGTGTGTAGGGTTATGTACTAAAACAACTACTTAAGGAAAAAACTATTTTCATCATGATTCCAAACAGGGGCAAGCCTGCAGATGATGCTCAAGAGTTCTGTGTCTTGCTAATACAGTATCTTCAGATTTGTCTCTGGAAAAAAAAGATAATTACATTCCCCAGTTTCACAGAGCATATAATAACTTAGAGCTGTAGTGATGAGGAAGAAATCAAGATTTTGCGTTTTGTTCTTTTGCTGTTTCCTAACCTGTCCTTTGTTTTGGTGTACCCTGATGCTTTTGCTGCTTTTTATTTCCTTACTACTGTACAGTCGTTGTAGTTTGTCCATTGATTGTGATGATGTCATCCAAGATTCAGACAAAAATCATTTACACTCGGCACATTTAATTGTTCAACCTGAGTTCATAAGGCTTTGTCATTTCTCATCTTCCCCCTGCTTTCTCACACCACCAAGATGCTCATACAGATGACACATGCACTTGTTAGTGTCAGCCAAGTTTGGCTCACTCTGGACATAAATTGATTGATTTAATGGTTCCATGTAGGCATTTTGTCCAGTCTGTGTGATAAATGAAAAGGCAGTCACCTTTGCTTGCTTTGTACATTATGTTGGTAGTTGAGCATGTAACGAAGTATAGAGAAAGTAGAAAAAGGTATTGTAAGACCATGACTACACAGTAGGAAATGGTGCATGGTTTGTATCTCCTGGTTTTTCTATGCTGACACAGATAAATTAGAAGCAAGATTAAAAGCTTAAGTAACTTCAACTATGCACTTGGATGACTTCTCTTTACCTAGCTACAAATACAGTCAGGTTTTAAAGATGCAGGCAAATCTGAAAAAAAAAAACATTCTTAAGCCTCAAAGGTCAACCTTGTGTCACAAGGCATGAGTGATTCTGCTAGCTATAAAAGCAGTTGCACATACTTTTTATTTGTACAGAGAATCTATTAGCTCTTTATAAGTATGTATTCATAACCCCATATTTATTTATGTTTAATCTATTCAGTCTATTCTGATTCCTGTGTTTTGTCTGGATGCAGAGGTTGAGAAATACGATGAAAACCTCCATGAAAAGGTTGTTGAACAAGGTGGAGGACAAAAGCGATACTACTTTGAAAACCTGAAAATTAGTGTCCCTCAAATCAAGTTGAGTGTCTTCACTTCCAGCAAGCTGCCTCTGGACCTCAAGGTACACCAGAGCATTCACAGAGTATGCTTCCAAGGAAAGAGATTCTATTGTAGGAGGAAAAAGGAACAGCAGCTTTAACTAACTGCTGTTAATTTCCATTTACTCTTCCATTACTTAAGTTACAAATAATAGAAGTTCCAATAGCTTCTGTTATTTAATATGCATAATTTACAGTCTTTTCTGTGATATTCTTTCATTTTTGTAATTTCAGTTGAAGCACAACCAACTTCACCTAACTCACTACTTTTCAGAGGATCTTAGTTGCATTCATGGTAGCGTAAAGAGCTTAAAGGGAGAGTCTGTCATACAGAAGGGCTGATGTGAAGAATTAAAATAAGAAGTTACTCAACATAGGGAGCAGAAATATGGCACAGCTCCAAGTGTTTTCATCCAAAAAATGTTGTTGCAGTAGGAGGGTTTGCATGAGCGCTATGCAGTTTGGCTCAATATCGAATTGAATTCAGATTGAATGTGGACTTAGAGAAGTGGAAAATCCTGTGTCCTTTTCACATGGTAATACATGTTGTGGCACAGTTGTTCAAGTGAACCAGGAATTCCAAATTCCAGCAAAAAGATAATCTCATCCAACTTGTATTACCAAGCTGTGTGTTGGGACCTTCCTGGACCTAACAAGGTGGCAACGGTTGGCAGTATTTCAGTTCCTCTGAACTAATGCAGCTGATTTCCTCAAGGTGGGGGAGCTGAAGCAAAACCAACCAACCAAACCGTAAAACCCCTCTCCACCGTAGAGGAATTGAGCCGCTGCCTATTTAACTTTTGCGCTCAAAACCCAAAATGTAGGCTTTTTTGTGTCCTTGATATTAAGGACATTGGGGTGTGCAGGCTTTTAAAGAAGTTGAGTTTTATGGAATGAATGTGAATCATGGAGTCCTGCCAGAATGACCCAGGATATCATTAGCCCTGCATTCTTATATTGCTTTTACCAACTCCTTGTGCAAAGGAGGAACATTCAGTGGCAGCAGTAATGCTCCTTGCCACTGAATATCAGGAGTGTCTTGAATGTGTTTGCACTTGAGCTTTAACTTCAAAATGCTTATCATCTGATTATCTCAAATTTAGAGAGAGAAAACAGTGTTAGTGTTGAGTGCCTTTAAGAACCCAGTAATGTACTCTGTTGTGTTTGGATTTCTACAACCTTGGGTATATGATTGCCTCTAGATGTGTCTTGGCAGCCCTCAGCAGTGTTCCCAAGAGAAGACTTGGTGTATACATTTTTTCCCTTCCCCCAAATGATAGCAGTCACTGACAGCATTCTAGATACTGACTTCCACATAAAGAATTCCATTCAGTTTTGTAGCACAGCAGAGTTTAGGTTAGGAGGGAGAGAATAATCACAGCAGAGCCTTTGTAGAAGTTTTTCTAACTACCTCTAATGTTCCTGGCTTGGACATTGTCATCTGGTAATTTGGTGTAGAGAGACTGTTTTTATCGGGTACCAATATTAACAAAGTTGCCTTACAGAATATCTGATAGTTAAACAGGAACTTATTTGCTACCCAAGTGAATAATGAGGACTAGTCTAGTTAGTCATCCATTTACTGAAAAAATGAATAGGCCATTTCTTACTTGCAAACTGAAGTCAGACCTATAATGTACATTAAGTGCCTGTAGATGGCAGAAACACATTACAACCAGGCATGCTTTTGTGGTGAAGGTAGATACTACACCAGTATCAGGCTTCTTCCTTCTCCAGATTTTGTGATGTTGATGACTCTGCAGATGCGATCATCAAGACCTGAAATGGAAGGGATCCCTTTCTTTCTTAAATATTAGTTTTCTTGTTTATTTTTCCAACATTTTCCATATGTTTACATATATATGTTTGTCCACCTTAAGTATGGGGTTTTTTATGTATAGATTGTACATGCTACAGATGGCCCATGGGCTAATTACTGGCTTAGTTTCCTTCCTTGAAAATTAGTGAAAAAGCTGGTTTAAAGAATTTCAGTACACCACCTAATGTTAAGAAATGAGCCTCAGGTTTGCAAGAAATTCCAGCTCATCCTGACACTTAATCCGATCATAGAACTTCAACAGGTTTTTCTTCACTGCGTATCAAGGAAATTCATTTAAGGTTTAATTGAACATTAGAGTAGTTATGGCAAAGTGCTAAGTCTAGAATCTTAAAAACATTTTGTTTTGAACTAGATTGCCTCAGGAAGAGTGTTTAATGACTCTGTAGTTACCGAAGAAATGCAGTTCTAATAATGGATTACAAGTCAAAGCTTTTTGGAGTGTTTGCCCTCTATATCAAAGAATGCATGGCAGTGGTAAACTGCTCTAGCAGCTTCAATTAATTTTGGGTTGTTATCCATTTAAAGATTAATTCACTTGGGTGCTGTGAATGAGAGAGAAAAATTAAAGTAGCAATATCTTTTATTTAATTAGGCATTGAAAAGCACACTGGGATTTCCTCTAATCCGATTTGAAGACGCTGTGATTAATCTGGATCCTTTCACTAGGGTCCATCCATACGAAACTCAGGAGTTTATCATTAATGACATTTTGAAACACTTTCAAGAGGTAAGTATCTTACAGATTTTACTGTGCCAGAGGCTGAGCTTCTCTTGCTCAGTGAGTTCTATCCTGAGGGTGTGAGAACCCTTTCTTGAGTCTTTACTTCAGTGTTAGTGCTGTGTTGCTTTGGTACATGGAGAAATAGCATCACATGCTTCTAAGAATACACTGCATTTTAGGATTAAACTGTTGTTGATCTTACTGGTATTTGTGTGTTCATTTCTTCAGTAAAAAAAAAATGAGTTTATATATCCTTTTATTGTGGGTGGGAGTTTTTAATCAACCGTGCTGCTGGTAGTGTGATCCATAAGTGAAATTTAATTCTTCCTGTTGATTTTCCAGGAGCTGCTTAGTCAGGCAGCAAGGATTCTAGGCTCTGTGGATTTCCTTGGCAACCCTATGGGTCTGTTGAATGATGTTTCAGAAGGTGTTACTGGACTTATAAAATATGGCAACGTTGGTGGTCTCATAAGAAATGTCACACATGGAGTATCAAACTCAGCTGCAAAGGTAATAATTATGATATTAATAAGTTTGATAAAACAATAAGCAAAAAGTAGTGGGGAAACAAGTTAAACAGAATTATTAACCATCTTTAAGTTGCTTTATGTCCATTCTGTAAAAATTGATTTTGAACTGTATATTCCTTTGAAATCACTTTATATGTACACTGCAGGGATGCCAGGAACCTTGTGGCAGTCAGGGAAACCACTCAAGGCCTTACTCTTGATACATATGTATTTGCAGGTTAAATGCACAGTGAGAACTAAAATGTTGCTCAGGTGTAGTGTCATCTCCAGCATGCAAATGAAAAAAGTTATGTACGTTATATATATATATATAAAAAGAGATTACTATAGCCATTTGGAGTATTTGAGGGGTTTAGCTGAACAGAAGTTGTTAACTTTTTAATGTGAATATCAATTATTAATGCTAACACTTCAGTTAATGTTTTTCTGTGCCAAATAGCAACAAAGAAGGGAGTTTCCAGACTGCCGAACATTTATCTTTAGTTTAACTCCTAGGTCTCTGCATGGTGAGCATTCTTTTGTCCTTCCTAATACTGACTGAGAGAATTCAGTTGCATATGTGTTATCACTGAAAATAACTATCTTTAGTGCCTGAGAGTTATGATCTGTGACAGCAGCAATAAAGAGGAAGTGGGTTTGATCATGGTTGATACTGTATTTTATAGTGAACAAACATATGTTCTGGAAATAGCTTTCGTTGCATACATGATGTGTCAACATGTACCTTAAATTAACCTTGTGATCCCAGGTAGAACTGGCATAATACTTTCTTCACATAAGGATGTGGTGTTAAAATTGTTTTTCTTTAAATTCTTTACTTCCTATTATTTTCAGTTTCCAAACTGGTAAGTCTGTACATCTGTATTATCATGATTCATCCTGTAAACTATTTGTGTACAAAGAAATCTACTTTCTTGCCCATGTTAGTGGGAAAAGGCAATTCAGGAGATGAAAAATGTGATGTGCAGAGTTTGCATAGTTACAGGTAGCTCAAGACTAACATTATCAAATTGAGTTAAACTGCCAGAGAGATCCCCAGCCTGTCACCAAGTGCAGAGCTGTGAGTATGTCTAGCTCAGCCACACGACAAGCTGAGCCATGAGGAAAGATAACACACACCTCCTCTATTGTAATTATCTTGTTCCCAGCATTAGCCCATTTGGGGCAATTCCAAGAAATTCAAACAAAATACCATTGTGTTGATATTCCTGTCCTAATCCACACTAGGTGGTTGCCCATACTTTCTACTCATGGTTCCACTCTCTTGTGACCCATCCACCCCACCCAATAGAGTGTGTTTCTTTAGGGTTTCCTTTCTATAAAGTGTTGTTTCCTCATCACAGTTACATCTGCAGCAACAGTCTCATAAATCTTTCTTTAAAAGGCACGAGCCTTCCTCTGTTTCCCACAAGGGCAAGGTCATTCTTTGAACTTTGGAGTCGTTTGTAACCAAGGGTTTTCCGAAGGAGATTTTCAAAGGCAGAAGGGCAGTTGGATGCTGAACTCCCTTCAAAATTCAGTGGAAGCTGAGGACCTGCTTTCCATTTATACCTTTGAAAATCACCCCATGGACTATTTATCTATCATCTTCCCAGGTTTTTTTTTTCTTTCTCCTAGTTATATCTGAAATATCTGTGATGCAAATGTCACATAGTTCCTTTTTAAAAGCTTTTTGGATGGATTATGAATTTGTCCTTTTGCAGAACAAGGAGAGAATTAAATCATTTAGGAAAGCATACTAGTACATTATGGAATTCCGTGATTAATCCTTCTTCCAAAACATGGATCTTAATTCTGCTACATAGAAAATAATAGTAGAAAAAGGCTTAAATGATCAGAATAATTCTTCCCTTTATGTTGTGCTGCTTTAGGTACCTAATTCTGCTAGAAAACTAAGCCAAAAATGTCTCTATGATAAGAAATTGATATTTCAAGTACAGTTTGTGATGTGTTGTATATGTGGTACAGTGTAGAACTTTTTTTTTTTACTCCCTTCTGCTGTATCACATGTGAGCCTTACAATTGTGTCTAGGACATGTGAAGCTTCGGGAAAGAAAAAAAAAATTCCAATTTCTCAAGAAAAATGGGACTGAAGCAATAGATCTTTTTTTGCCTTGCTGCTGGTGCTCTGTAGGGAAAGTATTTTAAAGTATGTTTTCACTGCATGAATTTCCACCTGATGCAGCAGTGCTGCAGAGGCTTCCCTCACCTTCAGCTTGTGTGGCACTGGCAGCTGCTGTAGCTGCATAGGCCAGTGTTCTGCACAGAAATTGGTGCCTGGAACACCACCCTTTTAGGTTAGTTTGAGTACCTGACTTGTAAAGTGTCTGGAATAAGAATCTAGAATAGATTTTAAGATGCATTAGCTTTTAAGGTGTGACTAGAGAGATGCACCTTAATATGATAATCATCACTTTAAAAGAACACTGTTTGCCTGAATTGAAAAGGAAGCTATTGGAATTGTATCTGGTTTTGTCATCTTACTGCTTTTCTATTTTATAGTTCTGCTGATTATCCCTATAATGGCTTTTCCATGCATTTCAGAACATGCAGTGGGTAATGCTGTCTTTCAAGTGGAGAGCTGCAGCATATTTAAGTTGGCACAAAAACTTAGGTTAAATAAAGTTCACTACAGACAGTTTTGTAATTTTGATCCCTTGGAGACTCCAAATTCTGTATTTTGAAAAGTTCTTTGATCCTAAATATAGACACCTGAGGGAATTTCATTCCCTCTGAATGGAGACTTCTGTAGTTGCCATATGCATTGAAATGTCTTTCTTGCATTCTTGGCATCCGCACTTTTCTTTTATATTTCCCATTAGGCATGATAGCACTAAATCCTAAATAATTCCTGATTCAGAGGTGATAATTAGAAATGAATACTGAACGCTGAATTATTATTTGAATAAAAGTGTTCCATAGCTTGTGTTTTCCACATGGAAAATTAAGCGTGGTTGTATGTGTTACTGGCAGTTAGGTGTTGTGCTGACCTAATGAAATAACTGGTAGTAAGAATTGAAAAGATTAAATCAGCTTGTCAGTGCTGTATTTAATTTGTCTGATCCTTTTAATCCTTACAAGGAACTCTGTTATCTTTTATGAATTACGAGCACATAGTGATGTGGTTGTCACGATTCTGCAGCTGGGCTTTGTTTCTGCCTGGAAATAATTGTTGTGTCCCTCCCTCCCAATAAAAAGAATTTAATGAACTTTTTGAAAAAGCATAATTTTCATATTGAACTTTGAAGTTTCCAATGAGAAATTACATTAGGTTTCTTAAGGGAAGGTAAAGCAACAGCCATGATTACAGTTGCATTTCCTCATTAGGTTTTTGTGGAAGCTTGTAGAGTTCTGAGTGGTGCAGGCTTCCTTAAGCTTGGAGCAGGCATCCAGCATGCCAAAACTTAAATATGTAGAGAGAGGATTTGCAACATATTGTATGGTGGGTGTTTGTTTTCTTTTATTGCTGAGGAGGAAGCACAGTTCTGCTTGGACATGGATGCCCTGGACTTAGATTCTATTTTAATTCAGTTTAGAGTGCTGGCAGAGTTGTTTAGGTGCTTAACAGAGGTAGGAAAAGAGAGGTAGGGTGTTGGAACCATGTAAGAAAATTGTAAACCTAGTAAGGGTGCAGATACTGCTCCTGTCAAGTGTTTGACATGGAAACACCTGTAGAAAAGGAACATGAAAACAACATGCAGGGAAAAGGGAATTTTAACCCTCACTGTAAGATAAATCAAAGCAGAATCTCAAGTGGTTGGCAGTGACAGAAGAATAAAGATAACTGAATGGAAAATGAAGAGGAAGTAATAAGGGGATTATCTAAAAACAAATCATGAACAAGTGTTTAACTTCTCCAAATGCTAACTGTAACAAAACTGGCAATAAATAAGATGAGGAGTGGATGTAGTAGAGCTCAGAAGGTAGGTACGATTTATGGAGGTTCTGCAAAAGGAATAGACAGAAATGTTTCCAGAGCAGTCAAAGCTGATGGTTCCCTTTTGTTCAAGGCTTCTTACTTCATGTAACTAACCACTTAGTCAATACCATTCAGAAGCAGGAACAACCGCCACTCACGTATTTGGACACACTGTGATTTAGTAGTTCAAGGAATATTAACTCAAAATGCAATTCAAGTAGCTGAAAAAATAAATCATATCTCGGTGAGAGGGAACTTGTGACAAAAGCCTTCGTATATGAGGCCTGAGGAAGATGTGCTTGGTGGTATTTTCCTCAGGAGAGTATTAAAACCGTCAACTGATAACGTAGAAGGATCACAGTGGCATTCAGGTTCTGAGTTTCCTACTGTTCTATGTGTCATTATTTTCTTAGACTCGCTACTCTTCTGTTTAACTGCTAACAGCAGAAGGTGAGTCATCACTGGCAGCCTCATACTGGACAAAACTGAGGAAGGCTGGAATACATATCATCCTCGGGGGCAACTCTAGAGATTTACACTTGGGTGTTACTTGGCGAAAGCTGACAGTTGTCCTTTGCAGGGGGAGTCCAGGTATTGAAGTTGTGGGATTTAGTAGCAGTGGCCATAAATTTTTATTTTTTTTTCTATTCCTAGAAGTGGTTTATACAGTTCGGGTCAAATGTAGTGTTCCTTGTGGTTCCTTCAGTGTAATCTTCAGGTTTTTCTCCCCGTGGCTTCCTCAGTGATGTGTAGGGGCTGCTGTGGTTCTGGTGACACATCCAGGTGGCACTGCAGATTCTCTGCTGTTTACTCCAGCACTCCAGTCACAGAGGAGCAGTTCACATGCAGGTTCAAGTGCTGAGCAGTGAGAATCTGCATGAAAATGTGCAGATGATGAGATGGAAAGTAACTGACATTCCCAGGCAGAATTTTTCAGTGCTAGGAGTGCTATGAGGCCATTTCCCCATTTCCTGGCAGTTTTAAAAGACAGCAAGTTTTATGGCCAATTAGTGACAATCAAAAGCCATGAAAAGTGTCACTTTTTGTGTGCAGAACATCTG